GTCTGTTGGCAAGACTCCATTTTTAGTTCAAATTGATATCATGGTTCCGTAAATTGTCACGATTACCACATCTCACACAGAATTACTTCCGTTATACCAACTATAAACGCAAGAAAATTTTTAAAATTCTACTTATCAGATGATGAGTTACTCTACTGTGCTGATTTCTAAACGCACAGACTGTACTTAAAAGCGAAGGTTTGATCAAAATTTAGGGTGGCAACAATGAATCATTTGGGTTTATTTTCTCACATTTTAAATTTGGTGCCAAGAAATCCTCCAATCGAATGTGCTGTTTGGTTTAAAAGACGCATCGTTGCCAACTTAAATTATGGTTTGCGTATTTTAGTTCGCTTCTTCTTCTTCGAAAATCATGAAAAATTCTGAAGAAATAACCTAAAATAAGTAATAATAATAAAAATAATAAATTCTGTTTCGACAGAACTTCCCTCACAACTAAAGTACAGTGAATCATATTTAGCATTTTTTAATTGAGTTTTTACTTCAAAAAATGTTTGCAAGGACAAGTGTTTGGCTAGGTGCAATGTAATAGTAGGGGAAAGGTGCCTAAAATGATCCCCCTAAGGGAGAAATTCTTTAAAAAATACAAATTATTATTATTCATGTAAAACTGTAGCATTATTTGTAAGAACATTGATTTATCTAGGTAACACTATAAGCCAATTGGTGATTCGATAATTATAAAAAAAGTTATTAACGTTTTTCCAGGACCTTACAAAAGGATCATTTTAGGCATCCCCATAGGTAAAATGATCCCTCGGCATAGGCATAATGATCCCTTTGAATTTTGACCATAAGGGGACAGCATCAACAAGAAAAATCAAATCATGACATAACTGATAAATATTTTATTTCAAAAATTAACAAAAAAATAAATTCTTAAAAAAAAATAAACAAAAAAAGTTTGAAAAGCACCGAAAATACGGGGTGTATAATTTCTGGAAGAGTTTGAGACAATACTTTAGTCATCAGTACGTGCTAAGATAAGACTAATTTTGCCAAATGGGATACCCTCCAAGAAAAGAGAGGGCGGGTGGGCGGGCCTACTACCTGCTAAGATAAAACTGAATTTGGCAAATGATATACCCTCTAAGAAAAGAGAGGGTGGGTGGGTGGGGCTAGTAACTGCTAAGATAAAACTGAATTTGGCAAATGACATACACTCTAAGAAAAAAGAGGGTGGGTGGGTGGGGTTAGTAAGTGCTAAGATAAGACTGAATTTGGCAAATGATCTAGCCTTTAAGAAAAGAGAGGGCGGGTGGGCGGGTCTACTAACTGCTAAGATAAAAATGAATTTGGCAAATGATATACCCTCTAAGAAAAGAGAGGGTGGGTGGGTGGGGCTAATACTTGCTAATATAAAACTGATTTTGGCAAATGAGATACCCTTTAAGAAAAGTGACGGCGGGTGACTGGGATTAGTACCTCTTAAGACTGAGAATTTCCCAAAAATAGAACACGAAAATCCCTAAAATTCTTTTAAATGATTTAAATTTCCCCGTCTTAAGAGGTACTAGCTCCACCCTCCCTCCCTCTCCTCTCTTAGAGGGTATTTCATTTGCGAAAATCAGTTTTACTTTAGCAGGTACTAGGTGGGTAGGGCTAGTAACTGCTAAGATAAAACTGGTATTGGCCAATGGTATTCCCTCGAAGAAACTAAAGGGTGGGTGGACGGGGTTAGAGGATATGTCATCTGCAAAAATCAGTCTTATCTTAGCAGGAAGTAGCCCCGCCCACCCACCCTCTCTTTTCTTGGAGGATATGTCATTTGCGAAAATCAGTCTTATCTTATTAGGTACTAGCCCTCTAACAAGATAAAGGGCGGATGGGCCGAGCTAGTGCTTGGCAAGATAAGGCTGATATTGGCAAATAACATACATTCTAAGAAAATAACGGGCGGGTGGGTGGGGTTAGTACTTGCTAAGATAAAACTGATATTGGCAAATGGTATTCCCTCAAAGAAAATAAAGAGTAGGTGGGCGGGGTTAGAGGATATGTTATCTGCAAAAATCAGTCTTATCTTAGCAGGTACTAGCCCCGCCCACCCACCCTCTCTTTTCTTAGAGGGTATATGATTTGCAAAAATCAGTCTTATCTTAGCAGGTACTAGCCCCGCCCAATGATCCGGGATCATTTTGCCTCAAGAAAAAGGGATCATTTCGCCATAGGTAGCATATCCGCATTCAAAAATTGTAAACTAACCTTCAATTTTTACATGCGGTAAACAGATCATAACTAACGACTGAAATGTATCTAATTCTGTCAAAACAACTACCACCGCTATAAGACCTTTCCAATGGAAGTAATGGACTTTTAAAATATATCTTACCTTAGATCAGAGGTGCTTATTTTACATATTTTGGCACAAAACTGTGCAGAATACACAGAACGCCATCAAACTTTCAGAAGCTACTAATTACAGAGCGCTTAATCAAATGACAGTTATGTTTGGTAGATAGAGTCACAAATTTTCTTACAATTGATGGGAATCATTTGACCTGAGGGGATCATTTTAGGCACTTTTCCCCTACTAATAACACTATCGTATTCCCAAAATTTTATGGGAAAATGGAGTGAGCCGTTCCAAATTTAATCAATAAAATAAATTGACACATTCATTCTTTTTTTTGAACCACTTGTATAAGCAAATCTAAAAATATGAATGCAATGATAAATCACAAAGAAAAACTCATCATATTTTGCACATTTCGGGTAGATTTATAATTTCACAATTTTTTACAATATTATATATAATAGGGGCAAAATCAATCTTATCTTAGAAAGTGCTAGCTCCGCCCACCCGCCCCCTATTTTTTCAGAGTATATGTCATTTGCCGAATTAAGTATTATCTTACCAAGTACTAGCCCCGCCCACCCACCCTTTACTTTCTTAGAAGGTATGTGATTTGCCAAAATCAGTCTTATCTTATCAAGTACTAGCCCCGCCCACCCTTCCCCTATTTTCTTAGAGGATATGTCATCTGCCAAAATAAGACTTACATTAGTAAGTACTAGCCCCGCCCACCCGCCCTTTATTTTCTCAGAGGATAGTATCCTCTGAAAAAATAAGGGTGAGTGGGCGGGACTAGTACTTCAAAGGTAAAACTTGGTTTGGCAAATGACATAAATTCTGAGAATGTAGGGGGCTGGTGGGCGGAGCTAGCACTTCCTAAGATAAGACTGATTTTGTCCCTATTAAACTTGTAAAAACTTGTTAAATTTTAAAGGTGTTAAATCGCATATTTGCATAGTAACGACTTAAATCCTAAATTATATTTATTTTTGAACAGCTCAGTTATTAATTTTTCTGAGATACCCTGTATAAACAAATTTAAAAAATACTGGTTATATATTAAAAAAATCACAAGTATAGACTCATCATATTTTGTACATTTTAGATAGGATTTATCCGGAAAAATTTTGAGATGACGTCATCAGTTTTTTAGAGGGGTAAGTAAATATATTTTGATTAAAAATTTATTATGCTTACCATAAATTTAAAACATCTGTAAGATTTCAAATTATTCAGTTTGGCAGATTCAAAATTAAATTATTCAAAATTAAATTGCAAATTGTTGTTTTATAATTTCCATTTTTTTCCAAAAATCTGGACGTTTTGGATCAAAACTCGGAGTTATAAACAACACGTGTAGGACTATGTTATTTTATACCATTACTTTAATGTTTTCTTGACGTTTCGTGACCTGGAGTGTAGGAAGAAATTGGTCTTCTGTTTCCGCCTGTCTGTCTGTCGGTCTGTCTAGCCGTCCATCTGTCTGTGTCGAATTTTATTAGACAGATAACTACCGATTGTTGTCAAATTTTGTACCATTTCATCGATTTTGCAGTAAACTCAGCAAATGTCAGATAATCTTTCAGAATAACAATATTAATAAAAAATAGAACACGGAAGGCGTACATTTTTAGCCAAAATATGAATTTTTTGCAAACCACCGGAGCACAAAATAAGATTTTGAGACAAGTCAACATTGGGGAAAAACAACATTTTGACAAAAAAGTCAAATTTTGAAGCGATTTCACAATTTTGTGGTAAAATCTATGTAACTGGACGTAAAATGACCTTATTCATAATTTTGTAACTCTTCAAGTTTACCCCAAAATGTTGACATTTTTGTCTCAATACAAGGTCAGATGAAAAATAATAAAAAAAAGCTTTTTTTGGAGATTTATATTAATGATCGGTATGTAATATATGTGCATATTTATTTTTATGTAACCAATAACTGTAAATTTAGTGTATAATAGTCAGTTTTATTTACAGACAACCGTTATCTGTGTACACTTTTAAACACTTATTATAAATACATTTTTCGTGTCCTACATGTGTCTTGGTATTTCCTAAGGAGAAAGCAATAAATAAACTTAACCAAATGGATTCGTTTAGACTACTGTTGTAGTAACTGTAAAAACCCACGATGGGTAAATTTTTAACAAGGTCATACATCTGTCAATCGAAAGTCTTGTACATTACAGAATGGCGTGTTTACAAACTTCGATTTAACCATTTACTAAAATAAATAAAAGTAAAGTCACACTTCCTGTGGGAAAATCTTCCCATATTTAGTTTTTTAACTTTATACTATTGTCAGAACGTCACAACTTGTCTTTCAAGTTAGTGTCACACCGGTACAATATCACCATAATAAACTCCCGCTTACACCAAGTCCCGATAGCCGTGATCGTCTAGTGGTTAGGACCCTACGTTGTGGCCGTAGTAACCCAGGTTCGAATCCTGGTCACGGCAATGTGCAAACATTGTCACGGTGGGACATTTTTTTCTTTTTTTTTTACACACAATTATCAAAAGAACTAATTATAAATTGTTTATTACTTAAATTATCACTACAAAATTTGTTTTCGTTGAAATACAAACATATTAAATAATTATTATTTTTATTATAATTAAAATTCCCCGAACGTTCGCTCATTATCAGAAGAACTCTTCTTCTGACCCCTTCCACATCGTGATGAAATGAAATGACACTCGACCAGTTGATAAGCTCCAGTACCGTGCAATAACAATTTGCCTCTGAACCGCTCTCTGTGGTTTCCAGCTGACGTCACGATAAATCGGCTTGGTTCAAGGTGCACCGGGTAAAACCTGACAGTGTTTGCTGGTTGCTGATTCTACAGATTATTTCGTGTTCTCATCTCTCACTCCAGCTAAGGTAAGCCGTTTGCTATCAAACAACCAAAAGAAAAAAGTCTTAGACACCACACACCTCGGATTGCACAATTCCACTTAGTTCTTAAACGTTTGTTTTTTGTTGATGTTGTCTTGTTCTTGTCAAAATTCAGCGGAGTAAATCAGCGACGCGGTTGCTGATCGAGTCTTATCGATTGGTCCATGTGTTTAAATCTAAGTAAAGTGTGTTGGTTTTTTTTTAACAGGAATAGAATGCTTCACAAACAGTCAATAGTGATTTTGGTACTTGGTGTATTGTTTTCCCATGTGGTGGCACAGGGAAAATCAAAGGATGAACTAATTAAGGACGTGTTTGGGACGAATAGTGAAGAGGAGCAGAATGAGCGTCCAGTGACCACCAGGAACCCTCCGAATCTTCAGCCTGGAAGTAATACAGGTACCAGTGGAGGGATACCTGGTACTGGATCTTGTACCTGTGTCCCGTACTACTTGTGCAATAATGGGTCTGTTAATACGAATGGAGAGGGCATTATAGACATTAGGTAAGTTTTGTGTGACTTATGGTACATACCTAATTCGACAAGAAGAAATGTAAACACACAAAAAACTGAGTTTTTATAAATCACGTAAAAAGTGTTAGTTAGTTTGGCAAATAGTTAGTTGCTAAATTTTTAATGATTATATAGTAATTAAACACGTTTTTAATTGCGCACAAATTGAATGTGCAAATAGCAACATCCGTGTTTCTTCTGGAAAAAAAAAACTTTTAACAATGCACTTTTTACTTGTAATTTTACAACTTAAAGTCAAGCGTAAATTCTTGTTAACTAAGAAAAATTAATGTTTTGTAGATAAGTATTAGCATACACGTGAGTTTATGTATAATATAAACAAATATTTACAAACCAACGTTCTAAAATAACCATGGTGGTTTTCTTTCTCAGATTTTTTTAACCATATGTTTCGCGATGACGTTGTCAAGTCTGTCTAAAACCAAAAAGTTATTAAAAAAATACATTATCCTGTTTTTATTAATATGTAGTTGTCCCCGAACCGAATTCACAAGATTTTTATTATTTAATATTTTACCGAAAAATGTCAAAGGAATAAAAATTTTCGCTTAGTTTAAAATAAGTAGTTTACAGTCTTTCAAAGGCAAGCAATAGCCCGCCCACCCACCCCCTCTTTATTCCAGTGACCACTCTAAATATTGTTCAGCCTTATTTTGACAAGTGTTAGCCCCGCCCACCCGCCCTCTATTTTTTTAAAGGGTGTGATTTGCCAAAATCAGCCTCATCTTAGCAGGTACTAGCCCCGCCCACCCGCCCTGTTCTCATTGTAACGATTTTATTTCTGTTCATCCGTATAAAATTCACCTTTTATTCAGATACAATGAATCGCTAAAATGAAGGCAGAGTTAATTATATGTTCTTCTGTAAAATGGCAAAAAAGTAAGAAAAGAGAAAAAAGAAACCTAAGAACGGGCGGGGCTAAGTTTAACGTCCTTTATCTTTTTTATTGCAGAATTAATCATATCAAACACAACTTAGTTTTTTTAAATTAAACATTTTTACATGTTTACATTTTCTCAGGCTTTACAACCACAGTTTATTTTTGAAATTCCGATGCGACGTTGTCATGTTATTCCAACAGATTTTAAAAACAACCCTTTTGCGATTTTTTGTGAACCTTTCCATTGTCGAAAAATTTCAAGAAAATTGGAATAACGTGGCAACGTCGCGTCGGAATTTAAAAAATAAACCGCAGTTATAATAATAATAATAGTATTCCAGCAGACAAAAGTAGTTCATAAAAATTTCGTATATATGACAATAATGGCCATCATATCCTAAAATTTTCGCATACCGTTAACAAATTTTTTTTCTTATTAAAATCTTGGAAAAATATCTTAATGTTCACATTTTTGTTAGAAATCTGGTTGTATAATCTACAACATTTTAGTTATAGAGCCTAGGAAGATAATACGTAAAAATATATAGGGTGTTTCATTATAAAAAGCTAAGTTGTGCGTTACGCCTTAAAAACAAAACACTCTGTATAGTTAAAAATAATTCTAGTGTTTAGTCCCCACAGAGTCGTACACTTGGCTCCAGAAAAAACGGGAATGGATTTTTTTACAATGTAAAATGTACTTGTCAATTTAACAAATCTGTTAAATTTTTGTCACTATTTTGACACAACATTTTGGCGATGTTATTATTGTTCTAACTTATTTCAAAATAGTCCCATTTAAACTAGAAAAATTCACACAGTAATTTGTCATACTAACTTTGACAGTTCCCATTTTTCTGGAGCCAACTGTACAACTTTAGCCTTTGACTTTTTTTTTATTTTTAATCATTAATTAAATATTATTAAGAAGGCTCTGAAAAACTCGAAAAAAAATCTGGTATCAAACTTTTGAAAATATTAAATTTCAAAGTTGAAGAATTAACTTCGTAATTCTGATTTGTTGTAAATAAGTTAATAATAATAAATAATTTTCTAGAATCCCATCCACAACCTCATTTGCCATTTTTGACAATTTTTATCGGACTGTCGATTAAATTCACGTTAAAAATATGTCAGAATCATGGAGTTAATTCTTCAAATTTGAAATTTCAAAAATTTGGTTCGGCGATTTTCTTAGCAACGTACCGTCGAGCGTATACGTCATTTTTTCATCACCCTGTATATAATTCTTGAACACTAAAATAGTACTGTTTTGCAACACCAACTGTATATTGTATGTATATATTTTATCGCCGCATTTAACTTAATGAATGAATGACATACAACTATTTTCTCGAGTAGAGTGGCAATACTTTGAGACGAACACACCAGTAAAACAACTCCCTAGACGTAAAACTGTTCCGACGGGTTCATAATTCATGTTTTTTGTTGGTTTTTTTCTTAATTTCTTTTTCAAATTACGAAAATAAAATGCATCTTACGGATTTTTTAAGTGGAACAAAATAAATTGAACATTGAGTTGTATAAAATATTTGCAACAAAATAAAACGCTTTTTTTTACTTTTTACTGTTTTCTCGACGTTTCATGATTTCTAGAGTATGAAAAAGTAGGTCTCCGTTGCCGTCCGTCAGTTTGTCGTCTTTTACCTGTGTTCATTTTATGATGAATAATCCCCGAAATTATTGGACTGATCATCCCCACCAACAATTTGATGATGCGTGCGTAAATATTTTGCAAAGTAAATGCCACTTAAATTTTATATAATAAAGTAATCCGAAACTTGTGATTTATGAATTAAATTTTATGTAATTTTTTGAAGGAGCTCTATTTGTTGGATTGTACTTCAATTTTTTATTTTAAGTATAACTATAACTAAACCTAAATAAAAAACATTTGAGTAAATTTTGTAAACACAAATAACACTGTTACTATTTAGTACCGTAAGAGTTTTAATACCAAATAACTGAAAAACTAAAAACTATATACTTATAAAACAAATGATTAACAAAAACATTCATTTTTTATTTTTTTTTCTAAACCTCTTCGTCATTCTGTTTTATGATTCTTTAACAATATTTTGTTTCATATTTTCGTGACTAAAACGAAGAATATCAGTGGTGTGCCATTTTTGTTCTGTTAAAAATTTTTTTTTTGCTTTGTTTTTTATACACTGATTTCATATAACTATGTACTTTTTGAGTATTTCTTTCAATTTTATACAACGTCCTTAAATCTAGTACCGTTTTCGTGAGTTTTCCATGTACCGAGAGAGCAATAAAAACACGATCAAAGACAGCTACATAGTTTTAAAAGTTTGTCTTTGATTGTTGCATTTTCAATGCAAACTTTCAAATTGACGGCAAGCTGACAAGACAAAAATTCTACCATAGACAAATTTTCAAAAATCCATAGCTATCTTTGATCGTACTTTTTATTACTCCCTCTACAAAACACAAATGATACGCCACTGAACAAAAACCTAGGGACGAATTGTGAGGACTCTTCCCATAGTATTTCCACTCTACAATCCGGAAATTTAGATAAATTTCAAAACTGGGTCTTTGGCAAGGAGACTGTTCAACATTATTGACCTAAATAACACTAACAACCTCGTACACTCAGTTTACAAAAGTATGCAGCCTTTACTATTAGTTTTTGCCTTGTTTTCGATATTTTGGTATTTTCCAGCACATTAACACTACACTGAACTCAAAAATATTTTTTTTATGTATATTGCACACAATCGACTATACCTAACTGAATTAAATTACTACCACAATAGTATCTAAATAATACTGGGAGACTATTAATGACTGAAGTAAATTTTTATGTTGGTAATTCTGAATTTTGACATTATTTAAAAATGTTGCCAACGAAATCAAAAAACATAAATGGTTACCTGGTAATTTTACTGCTGCCTTTTTTGTTTGTTGGAACTGCAAAACCGAATCCTTGGAGATTTTTTAAAGTTAAAGTTTTCACAAGTTTAATAGGGGCAAAATCAGTCTTATCTTAACTAGTGCTAGCCGCGCCCACCCGCCCTCTATTTTCTCAGAGGGTATGGCGTTTTCCAAAGTCAGTCTTATCTGAGCAAGTACTAGCCCCGCCCGCCCGCCCCTATTTCCTCGGAGGATATGTCATCTGCCAAAATAAGACCTATCTTAGCAAGTACTAGCAAGTACTACCTAAAACCTATCTTAGCAAGTAGTAGCAAGTACCACCTTCTGAGAAAATAAAGGGCGTGTGGGCGGGTCTAGGACTTGCTAACACAAGTCTTATTTTGGCAGATGACATATCATCTGAGAAAATAGGGGGCGGGTGGGCGGGGCTAATACTTGATAAGGTAAGACTAATTTTGGCATATCACATACCTTCCAAGAAAGTAAAGGGTGGGTCGGCGGGGCTAGTACTTGCTCAGATAAGACTTATTTCGGCAAATGACATATACTCTGAGAAAACGGGGGGTGGGTGGGCGGGTCTACTATTTGTTAAGATAAAACTGATTTTGCCCCTATTAATTTTGTAAAAACTTGTGAAATCTAAAGGTGTTAAATTCCAAATTTCCATAGTAACGAGTTAAATTCCTAAGTCTACATTTTTTGTCAAAATGTTGTCTTTCCTCAATGTTGACTTGTCCCGAAATTTTATTTTGTGCTCAGGTGGTTTGCAAAAAAATTAAGATTTTGGCTAAAAATTTACGCTTTCCGTGTTCAATTTTTTATTAATGTTGTTATTCTGAAAGAAAATTTGACATACGGGGTAATTTTTGCTGAGTTTACTGCAAAATTGATGAAATGGTGTAAAATTTGACAACAATCGGTCCAGTAGTTTCGGACTACCGAAAGATAACTATATCTGTCTAATAAAATTCGACACAGATAGACAAACAGACAGATAGACAGTCGGAAACAGAAAACCACTTTTTTCTGCTCTCCAGGTCGAGAAAACATGAAAGTGAAAGTCGCATCAGCTAACTACTAACTAACGTAAGTCTTATTTTGGCAGATGACATATCCTCTGAGAAAATAGGGGGCGGGTGGGCGGTTCTAGTACTTGGTAAGATGAGACTGATTTTGGCAAATCACATACCTTCTAAGAAAGTAAAGGGTGGGTGGGCGGGGCTAGTACTTACTCAGATAAGACTTATTTCGGCAAATGACATATACTCTGAGAAAACAGGGGGCGGTTGGGCGGATCTACTATTTGTTAAGATAAAACGGATTTTGCCCCTATTAATCTTGTAAAAACTTGTGAAATTTAAAGGTTTTAAATTCCAAATTTCCATAGTAACGAGTTAAATTCCTAAGTCTATATTTTTTGTCAAAATGTTGTTTTTCCCCAATGTCGACTTGTCCCGAAATCTTATTTTGTGCTCAGGTGGTTTGCAAAAAAATTAAGATTTTGGCTAAAAATTTACGCTTTCCGTGTTTAATTTTTTATTATTGTTGTTATTCTGAAAGATTATCTGACATACGGGGTAATTTTTGCTAAGTTTACTGCAAAATTGATGGAATGGTGTAAAATTTGACAACAATCGGTCCAGTAGTTTCGGACTAGCGAAAGATAACTCTATCTGTCTAATAAAATTCGACACAGATATACAGACAGACAATCGAAAACAGAAGACCACTTTTTTCCCACTCTCCAGGTCACGAAACGTCGAGAAAACATGAAAGTGAAAGTCGCATTAGCTAACTACTAACTAACGTAAGTCTTATTTTGGCAGATGACATATCCTCTGAGAAAATAGGGGGCGGGTGGGCGGGGCTAGTACTTGACAAGATAAGACTAATTTTGGCAAATCACATATACTCTGAGAAAACAGGGGGCGGGTGGGCGGGACTAGTATTTTTTAGGATAAAACTGATTTTGCCCCTATTAATCTTGTAAAATCTTGTGAAATTTAAAGGTGTTAAACTGCAAATTTCCATAGTAACGAGTTAAATTCCTAAATCTACCCAAAATTTGCAAAATATGATGAGTTTTTACTTGTGATTTATCACTGCATTCATATTTTTTAGATTTGCTTATACAGGTGGCTCAAAAGAATTACTGAATGTGTCAATTTATTTTATTGATTAATTCAGGAACAGCTCACTCCATTTTCCCAGAAAATTTTGGGAATATAATATTGTTGTTATCTGTATTACATTGCACTTATCCAAACTAACATACTTGTCCTTGCAAAAATGTTGATGACGTCATCACAACATTCTGTAAAGTTAAAACTCAACTCAAAAATTCTGAATACGTTTCAGTGTACTTTAGATCAGCTTTTTCAAAATGTATTTGCTCATCCCCTCCTAAAAAATTGTGACGTCATTTCAAAATTTTGCTGAATATATCCTGTTATATGTGCAAAATATGATGAGTCTATACTTGTGATTGTTTTTAATATATAACCAATACTTTTTAAATTTGCTTATACAGGGTATCTCAGAAAAATTAATGAGTGAGCTGTTAAAAAATAAGTATCCAACCAAATTTAGAAATTTAAGTCGTTACTATGGAAATATGCCATTTAACACCTTCTAAATTTAACAAGTTTTTACAAGTTTAATAGGGGCAAAATCAGTCTTATCTTAGGAAGTGCTAGCCCCGCCCACCCGCCCTCTATTTTCTAAGGGGGTATGGCGTGTGCCAAAATCAGTCTTATCCGAGCAAGCATTAGCCCCGCCCACCCGCCTCTATTTTCTCAGAGGATATGTCGTCTGCCAAATTAAGACTTATCTTAGCAAGTACTAGCAAGTACTACCCTCTGAAAAAATAAAGGGCGGATGGGCGGCGCTAGTACTTACTAACGTAGGTCTTATTTTGGCAGATGACATATCCTCTAAGAAAATAGGGGGAGGGTGGGCGGGGCTAGTACTTGGTAAGATAAGACTGATTTTGGCAAATCACATACCTTCTAAGAAAGTAAAGGGTGGGTGGGCGGGGTTAGTACTTGTTAAGATAAAACTCGTTTTGCCCGTATTAATCTTGTAAAAAATTGTGAAATTTAAAGGTGTTAAATTGCAAATTTCCATAGTAACGAGTTCAATTCCTAAGTCTACCCGAAATGTGCAAAATATGATGAGTTTTTACTTGTGATTTATCACTGCATTTATATTTTTTAGATTTGCTTATACAGGTGGCTCAAAAAAATTAATGAATGTGTCAATTTATTTTATTGATTAAATGAGGAACGGCTCACTCCATTTTCCCAGAAAATTTTGGAAATACAATATTTTTATTATTAGTATTATATTGCACCTGTCCGAATTGACACACTTGTTCTTGCAAAAATTCTATAAAGTAAACAGTCGACTCAAAAATGCTGAATATGTTTCATTTTACTTTAGACCCTAGGGAAGTTCTGTCGAAACAGTTTTCGACCAATTTTTTAATATAAAACACATTTCTTTGGCTGTAAAAAAACAGTTCCGTTAGATATAAGTTACCCAACTGATTCTTCGTAATTAAGTCATCGATATGTAGCAAGAGATTTAATCAGGTTTTGTTGTTGTGGTTTGTACTAAAACCACAACTATATATTAAATATCAGGGGTTGATTGAATGACCTTTTAAAGTATTTTTGTTGTGTTCTTGGTTATAGTTAAAGTTTTGGTTTGAAATATGTTGTGTCAGTCCTAAATAGGATATGAGGTGAACTGTTTTGCGTTACAACTGGTACAACTTTGGACTATTAAAAAAATTGCTATTAAATCCGTATCCGCCTAGACACTAAAAATATTCCACAAGCGTTTTTTTTCTTAATTATTATTCTTTAATTCTGGATGCAAGTCGCTAATTATGAAAAAGTCCTTCACCCTACTCTATTATAAAACAGTCATTGGTATTCCACTGTCAACGCCCAATTATCTTATTTGTGTCACTGTGATTCCCGTTCAGAACAAATATAAATCGCAATTCTGGCTAGTTATTTCAAACAATTCTCATGCAATATGGCAATGAATTATTGCGAATACTAGGAATCCGTGTCTGATTTATTTTTATGTATGTTTAGATTTAAACTCCAGATTAGCACAAATAACAAAGCAGGGAATTTCAAAAACAAAATCAATCATTAATAAAATTATCATGTAGGTAATCACAAAACAACGTGTTTGTCTGGTTGTAATTTAACGAGAACTTGTCAGAATCGCTGTTAATAATAACGCGATAATAATATGCATGAATCCTTATGTAACATTATTCAGAACGTGATGTAACAATAGTAACAATATACCTCAGTTCAGCTCATTAAATAATGATGACGAGACTCGCGAGTTTTAAATTCGTTAAAATTGTTACTAGCTTGTGCCATTTTGTGTTTAATGGCCATCAAGAAACCTCATCTCATTCGCCTCACCAAGTTACTAACGTAACTAAACCGAACCTCTTCCTCCTTCCAGAATCAACGAAGGCCCGTGCGAGAACTACATCGACGTCTGCTGCGACAAAGACAGCGAAGTCGAAGTCCCACTCACCCCAACGCCGCCCCCGATAAAACGCAGCGGCTGCGGCCACCACAACCCCGACGGCATCGGCTTCCGCATAACCGGCAACAACGACAACGAGGCCCAATATGGAGAATTCCCCTGGATGGTGGCGGTCCTCCGCGAGGAAAGCATCGAAGGCAACCCCCAGAAACTCAACGTGTACCAGTGCGGCGGCGCCCTCATCGACACCTCCGTCGTAGTGACCGCCGCCCACTGCGTCAGCAGCAAGAAGCAGTTCAAAATCCGCGCCGGGGAATGGGACACCCAGACCAAGAAGGAGTTGTACCCGCACCAGGACCGCGAAGTCGAAAGCATCATCGTGCACCCCCAGTACTACGCCGGGGCGCTCTACAACGACATAGCGTTACTGTTTTTGAAAACCCCGGTGGATATCGCTGAGAACGTGAACGTGATTTGTTTACCGACTCAAGGTACTAATGTGGATAACGCGCGGTGCTATGCTAGCGGGTGGGGGAAGGACGTGTTCGGGAAGGAGGGTCGCTATCAGGTGATTTTGAAGAAGATTGATCTTCCGGTGGTACCTAGAGACAAGTGTCAGGAGAGTTTGAGGAATACGAGGCTGGGGAAGCATTTTGATCTTCATAAGAGTTTTATTTGTGCGGGAGGGGAGGCTGGGAAGGACACGTGCAAAGGGGATGGGGGCAGTCCTTTGGTTTGTCCGATTCCGGGGGAGAAGAATCGGTACCAGCAATCTGGGATTGTGGCCTGGGGGATTGGGTGTGGCGATAGCCAGACTCCAGGGGTCTATGTCAATGTAGCGCTATTCAGAAACTGGATAGACGAACAGATGAAGAGCAAGGGTATAGAAACCCAAGCTTACGAGTACTAAAACCAGTTGTCTTTTATTATGTATTTTAAATCTTGAATAAAAGTTTTGTAATAAATGTTTGTTTTAATTTTGTTGCATAATTTGGTAAGGTCAACGGTGCAGGCACGGACTGTGGTTTTTCCACTGAACGCTTAAGATATCGTAGTGGCTCGTAGAGGGACATATACACACCCACTAAAAACCTGGTGACGTCACCACAAAAATTATTTAATAAACCATAAACCAAGTTGCAATAACCTATATTTTTACTGTGGCCATCAAAAAAAATAACTTCTTCGACATATTTTGAAAATTCGTTTAACTAGTTACTAGTAGCCAAAATAATAATGAATTGGCACAGTTTCATACTTGGACAATATTTTTGAGTATTCGGGTTAAAAGTAATTGCAAAAAGTAATTGTAAAAGACACTGAATTACTCAAAAAAAGTAATTCGTTACAATTACTCATTACATTCTTTAAAAAGTAATGCATTACAATTACTCATTGCTTGAAAAGGAAGTGGATTACAGTAATGAATTACTTGGTAGGTGCTAAGATTCCATCCTCGGTCCACTGCTATTTCTAGTGTTCATAATTGACTTCCAATCACTTAAATCCGAACTCAATTTTTTCTGCCGATGATCCAGCCTTCATAGATAAAGCAACCTCTTTACCAACTGTCGTTCATTTGAGTAAAAACACATATTTGAAGGCTTGGCAATATCCTCTTTACCTTAAAAAAGGTACATTGACAACTCAGTCAAAAGGAATATTTCTTTTACGAAACTAAAATGTTTTCGTGTAGTAGTTTGAATTACGTAAATTTGACATGCACAAAGCTGTATAGCATTATATGTGACAATAAAATCATTATTATTATTATTATTAAAACCTCCAAATGGTTTTTTTTAAGTGAAACCTTCTCGGAGTCCCAACTGTTGAATTTTCCAAATTTTCGATGATTAAATGTTACAGTTTTTCGATTTTTCAATTGTTGAGTTTTCAATTTTTCTTTTTTTTTCAATTTTTCAAAATTCTGTTTATTTTTAGTTTCTCAATCACCCGATTTTCAATTTTTTGATTTAGTTTTTCATATTTTTTATTAACCCATTTTTTTATTTGCAATTTTTCGAATTTTCTATTTTAAAATTTTGTGTAAATTGATTTTACGATGTTGCAGTTTCTCGGTGTTTCAGTTATCCTATTTTTCGATTTTAGTTTTGAACTTTTTTGATTTTACAACTTTTAGATGTTTTAAATTTCCGTGTTTTCGATGTTTCTCTATATTTCGACTTTTTGTTCTTTCACTTTTTCAATTTTTCAATTTTGAAACTTCGCATTTTCCATTTTTCAATTTTGTGACTTTTTTCGATTTTGCAACTTTTAGTATCTTCTGTTTTTTTTTGAACAGCACCTTTTCTTCCAGTCTTACAACTTTTCGATTTTACAATTTTTCATTTTTTTAATTTTTGTTTCTTCAACTTCTCGATTTTTCGAATTTTTTTCAGTTTTCATTTTTACAATTATCTCGTTTTTCGATGTTTTGATGCTCCGTTTTTTGTTTTGCAATTTTTCGATTTTTCAATTTCTCCCTTGTTCAGTTATTTTATTAGAAATTTTTTTCATCTAATTCATTTTTGGAATTGCAATTTTTTGAATTTTACATTTTAGAAAAATGTTTCCATTATTAAATTTTACACTGTGGCAATTTTCAATGTTTTAAGTTTTTGGATTTTTATTTTACATTTTTTTTAATTTTACAATTTTTGGATATTTAAAATTTTCGTTTTTTCGATGTTTCTCGATATTTCGACTTTTTGTTCTTTCACTTTTTCTATTTTTTAATTTTGAAACTTCGTATTTTCGATTTTTTAATTTTGTGAATTTTTTTCGATTTTGCAACTTTACGTTTCTTCTGATTTTTTTTGGAACAGCAACTTTTCCAATTTCCATTTTTAAATATTTCGATTTTTCAATCTTTCGATGTTTCAGTCTTACAACTTTTCGATTTTACAATTTTTAATTTTTTTAATTTTTGCTTTTTTAACTTCTCGATTTTTCGAATTTTTTTCAGTTTTCATTTTTACAATTATCTCGTTTTTCGATTTTTTAATGTTCCATTTTTTGTTTTGCAATTTTTCGATTTTTCAATTTCTCGCTTCTGCAGTTATTTTATTAGAAATTTTTCTAGTTTTCATTTTAAAATTTTTCGATTTTTTAACTTTGGAATTTCGCAAATTTTCGATGTTTCAAAGTCACGGTTTTTCGATTTTTCAATTGTTGAGTTTTTTCAATTCCTCGCTTTTCCAGTTTTTAAAATTTTGTTTTTTTTTTTAATTTCTCAATCACCCAATTTTCAATTTTTTTGTTTAGTTTTCATATTTTTAATTAATCTATTTTTTGATTTGCAACTTTCCGAATTTTCAATTTTAAAATTTTTTGTAAATTGGTTTTATAGTGTTGCAATTTTTTTTTATTTTTAGTTTCTCGTTTTTTCAATTTTTCGAATTTTAATTTTACGATTTTGCAATTTTCGATTTGTCAATTTTTATTTCTTCAGTTTTACGATTAACAATTTTTCTAAAATTTTTCCACTTTTGGAATTTTCAGTTTTTAAGGTTTTGTAATTTTTCGATTTCTTAATCACCTGTTTTTCAATTTCCCAGTTTTCAAATTTCCAATTTTACGAACTAAGTAGCTTCACATTTTTTCATCTGATTCATTTTTGGATTTGCAATTTTTTTGAATTTCACATTTTAGAAAAATGTTTCCACTATTAAATTTTACACCGTGGCAGTTTTCAACGTTTTAAATTTTTGGATTTTTATTTTGCATTTTTTTTACTTTTACAATTTTTTGATGTTTTAAATGTTCGTTTTTTCGATGATTTTCGATTTTTGGACTTTTTGTTCGTTCACTTTTTCAATTTTTTAATTTTAAAACTTCGCATTTTCGATTTTGCAACTTTTCGTTTCTTCTGTTTTTTTTGAACAGCACCTTTTCTAATTTTCAATTTGAAATATGTATTTCGATTTTTCAATCTTCCGATGTTTCAGCCTTATAACTTTTCAATTTTACAATGTTTAATTTTTTTAATTTTTGCTTCTCAACTTCTCGATTTTTCGAGTTTTTTTCAGTTTTCACTTTTACAATTATCTCGGTTTTCGATTTTTTGATGCTTCGTTTTTTGTTTTGCAATGTTTCTAGTTTTCATTTTAAAATTTTTCGATTTTATGACTTTTGAATTTCGCAAATTTTCTATGTTTCAAAGTTTTTCAATTTTTCGAATTTTAAATTTTACGATTTTCCAGTTTTGGAATTTTCAGTTTTTAAGATTTTGTAATTTTTCGATTTCTTGATCACCTGTTTTTCAATATCTCAGTTTTCAACTTTTCAATTTTACTCTAATTTTAATCTAATTCATTTTTGGATTTGCATTTTTTTTTATATTACAATTTTTGCATGTTTTAAATTTTCGTTTTTTCGACGTTTCTCGATTTTTCGACTTTTTGTTCTTTCATTTTTTCAGTTTTTCAATTTTGAAATTTCGCATTTTCCATTTTTCAATTTTGTGACTTTTTTCGATTTTGCAACTTTTCGTTTCTTCTGTTTTTTTTTTTGAACAGTACCTTTTCTAATTTTCAGTTTTAAATATTTCGATTCTTCAATCTTTCAATGTTCCAGTCTTACAACTTTTCGATTTTACAATTTTTCATTTTTTTAATTTTTGCTTCTTCAACGATTTTTCGAATTTTTTTCAGTTTTTATTTTTACAATTATCTCGTTTTTCGACGTTTTGATGCTCCGTTTTTTGTTTTGCAATTTTTCGATTTTTCAATTTCTCGCTTCTTCAGTTATTTTATTAGAAATTTTTTTAATTTTCATTTTAAAATTTTTCGATTTTTTAACTTTTGAATTTCGTAAATTTTCGATGTTTCAGTCACGGTTTTTCGATTTTTCAATTTTTAAAATTTTGTTTTTTTTTTTTTAATTTCTCAATCACCCGATTCTCAATTTTTTTTGTTTAGTTTTCATATTTTCAATTAACCTATTTTTTGATTTGCAATTTTTCGAATTTTCAATTTTAAAATTTTCTGTAAATTGATTTTACAGTGTTGCATTTTTTTTTAATTTTTAGTTTCTCGTTTTTTCAATTTTTCGAATTTTAATTTTACGATTTTGCAATTTTCGATTTTTCAATTTTTATTTCTTCAGCACTTTTTGTAAAATTTTTACACTTTTGTAATTTTCACTTTTTAAGATTTTGTAACTTTTCGATTTCTTAATTACCTGTTTTTTCTATTTCTCAGTTTTCAACTTTTCACTTTTACGAACTAAGTAGCTTTACATTTTTTCATACAATTCATTTTTGGAATTGCAATTTTTTGAATTTTACATTTTAGAAAACTGTTTCCATTATTAAATTTTACACCGTGACAATTTTCAATGTTTTAAGTTTTTGGATTTTTATTTTGCATTTTTTTTTTAATTTTACAATTTTTGGATGTTTTAAATTTTCGTTTTTTCGATGTTTCTCGATATTTCGACTTTTGTTCTTTCACTTTTTCAATTTTTTTTATTTTGAAACTTGGCATTTTCGATTTTTCAATTTTGTGACTTTTTCGATTTTGCAACATTACGTTTCTTCTGTTTTTTTTTTGAACAGCACCTTTTCTAATTTTCAGTTTTAAATATTTCGATTCTTCCAGTCTTACAACTTTTCGATTTTACAATTTTTCATTTTTTTAATTTTTGTTTCTTCAACTTCTCGATTTTTCGAATTTTTTCAGTTTTCATTTTTACAATTATCTCGTTTTTCGATGTTTTGATGCTCCGTTTTTTGTTTTGCAATTTTTCGATTTTTCAATTTCTCGCTTGTTCAATTATTTTATTAGAAATGTTTTCATCTCATTCATTTTTGGATTTGCAATTTTTTGAATTTTACATTTTGGAAAAATGTTTCGATTATTAAATTTTACACCGTGGCAGTTTTCAATGTTTTAAGTTTTTGGATTTTTATTTTGCATTTTTTTTACTTTTACAATTTTTGGATGTTTTAAATTTACGTTTTTTCGATGTTTCTCGATTTTTCAACTTTTTGTTCTTTCACTTTTTCAATTTTGTGATTTTTTTTTGATTTTGCAACTTTTCGTTTCTTCCGGTTTTTTTTTTGAACTTTTCTCATTTTCAATTTGAAATATTTCGATTTTTCAATCTTTCGATGTTTCAGTCTTACAACTTTTTGATTTTTCAATTTTCACTTTTACAATTATCTCGTTTTTCGATTTTTTGATGCTTCGTCTTTTGTTTTGCAATTTTTCGATTTTTCAATTTCTCGCTTCTTCAGTTATTTTATTAGAAATTTTTCTAGTTTTTATTTTAAAATTTTTCGATTTTTTAACTTTTGGATTTCGCAATGTTCGATGTTTCAAAGTCACGGTTTTTTGATTTTTCAATTGATTCCTCGTTTTTTCAGTGTTTAGAATTCCAGTTTTTAAAATTTTGATTTTTTTTAACTTTTCGATCACCCGATTTTCATTTTTTTTTTATTTAATTTTTCATATATCATAATATTCATAATTAACTTATTTTTCAATTTTAAAATTTTCTGTAAATTGATTTCACAATGTTGCAATTTTTCGATATTTATTTTGCACTTTTTTTTATTTTTCAACGTTTTGATTTTTAGTTTCTCGTTTTTTCAATTTTTTAAATTTTACGATTTTGCAATTTTCGATTTTTCAATTATTGTTTCTTCAGTTTTACGATCAGCAATTTTTTAAATAATATTTCCACTTTTGGAATTTTCAGTTTTTAAGATTTTGTAATTTTTCGATTTCTCAATCACTCGATTTTCAACTTCAAACCCCCAGTTGTCTTTTTTAAAAATGTAAAACTTTCTCGGAGGCGCCAAGTGGTTTTTTTTTAGAATATAAAATCTTCTCGGAGGTCCCAACTGTCTATTTTTAAGAATGTGAGACCTTCTCGGGGGTCCCAACTGTCTTTTTTAAAACTCTAAAACCTTCTCGGGGGGCCCAAACATATTTTTTTAAAAATGTGAAACCTTCTCGGGGGCCCTAATTGTATTTTTTTTATGTGAAAGCTTGTGGTCGGTCCCAGTTGTCTTTTTTAAAAATGGAAACCTTCTCGGGGGTCCCAACTGTCTGTTTTAAAAATGTACAACACTCTCGGGGGTCCCAACTAGCTGTTTTAAAAATATAAAACCTTGTCGAGGGCCCAAATGTATTTTTTTAAAACTGTGAAACTTTTTCGGGGGTCCCAACTGTCTTTTTTAAAAATGTAAAGCCTTCTCGAGAGCCACAAATGTATTTTTTTAAAAATGTGAAACCTTCTCGGGGGTCCCAACTGTCCTTTTTTTAATGTGAAACCTTCTCGGGGGTCCCAACTGTCTTTTTTAAAAATGTAAACCTTCTCGGGGGTTTCAATTGTCTGCTTTAAAAATGTAAAACCTTCTCGGGGGTCCCAACTGTCTGTTTTAAAATTGTACAACTTTCTCGGGGGTCTCAACTGTCTTTTTTAAAAATGTAAAGCCTTCTCGAGAGCCACAAATGTATTTTTTTAAAAATGTGAATCTTTCTCGGGGGTCCCAACAGTCTATTTTTAAGAATGTGAAACCTTCTCGGGGGTCCCAACTGTCCTTTTTTTTAATGTGAAACCTTCTCGGGGGTCCCAACTGTCTTTTTTAAAAATGTAAACCTTCTCGGGGGTTTCAACTGTTTGTTTTAAAAATGTAAAACCTTCTCGGGGGTCCCAACTGTCTGTTTTAAAAATGTACAACCTTCTCGGGGGTCCCAACTGGCTATTTTAAAAATATAAAACCTTGCCGAGGGCCCAAATGTACTTTTTTTAAAAGTGTGAAACTTTTTCGGGGTCCCAACTGTCTTTTTTAAAAATGTAAAGCCTTCTCGAGAGCCACAAATGTATTTTTTTAAAAATGTGAAACTTTCTCAGGGGTCCCATCAGTCTATTTTTAAGAATGTGAAACCTTCTCGGGGTCCCAACTGTCCTTTTTTTTAATGTGAAACCTTCTCGGGGGTCCCAACTGTCTTTTTTAAAAATGTAAACCTTCTCGGGGGTTTCAACTGTCTGTTTTAAAAATGTAAAACCTTCTCGGGGGTCCCAACTGTCTGTTTTAAAAATGTACAACCTTCTCGGGGGTCCCAACTGGCTGTTTTAAAAATATAAAACCTTGCCGAGGGCCCAAATGTACTTTTTTTAAAAGTGTGAAACTTTTTCGGGGTCCCAACTGTCTTTTTTAAAAATGTAAAGCCTTCTCGAGAGCCACAAATGTATTTTTTAAAAATGTGAAATTTTCTCGGGGGTCCCAACAGTCTATTTTTAAGAATGTGAAACCTTCTCGGGGGTCCCAACTGTCCTTTTTTTAATGTGAAACCTTCTCGGGGGTCCCAACGGTCTTTTTTAAAAATATAAACCTTCTCGGGGGTTTCAACTGTCTATTTTAAAAATGCAAAACCTTCTCGGGGGTCCCAACTGACTGTTTTAAAAATCTAAAACCTTGTTGAGGGCCCAAATGTATTTTTCTAAAACTGTGAAACTTTTTGGGGGGTCCCAACTGTCTTTTTTAAAAATGTAAAACCTTGTCGAGAGCCACAAATGTATTTTTTTTTTAATGTGAAACCTTCTCGGGGGTCCCAACGGTCTATTTTTAAGAATATGAAACCTTCTCGGGGGTCTGAACCGTCTTAAAAATGTAAAACCTCGGGAGCGCCAAATCTCTTTTTTTTTAATGTGAAACCTTCTCGAGGGTTCCAACTGTCCTTTTTAAAACTGAAAAACCTTCTCGGAGGCCCCAAATGTATTTTTTTTTATGTGAAACCTTGTCGTAGGTCCTAGTTGTCTTTTTGAAAAATGTAAAACCTCGGGAGCGCCAAATGTCCTTTTTTTAATGTGGAACCTTCTCGGGGGTCCCAAATATGTATATATTTTTTTAAGTGTGAAATCTTCTCGGGGGTGTCAGTTATCTTTTTTAAAAATGTAAATAAAATTTTCTCTGGGGCCCCAAATATATTTTTTTTTAATGTGAAACCTTCTCGGAGGTCCCAGTTATCTTTTTTAAAATTGTAAAACCTTCTCGGGAGCGCCAAATGTATTTCTTATAATGTGAAACCTTCTAGGTCGTCCCAACTGTCTTTTTTTAAAATATAAAATCTTCTCGGGGGTCCCAACTGTCTGTTTTAAAAATGTAAATGTACCACGAATATCAACCAGATCCCAGTAGTACACATTAGTTACTTCCAACTAAAATTTTTCCAGCATCAATGAAGACCCTTGCCAACACTACATCGAAGTCTGCTGCGACAAAACCAACCAAGTCGAAGTCCCACTAACCCCTCCTCCAACCAAACGCAGCGGCTGCGGCCACCACAATCCCGACGGCATCGACTTCCGCTTACCCCCCACCCGCGACACCCAAGCCCATTACGGAGAATTCCCCTGGATGGTGGCGGTCCTCCGCGAAACCACCGACGACAACCCCCAGAAATCTCACGTGTACCAGTGCGGGGGCAGCCTCATTACCGCCTCCGTCGTACTAACCGCCGCCCACTGCGTCACCAACAAGAACCACTTCAAAATCCGCGCCGGGGAATGGGACACCCAGACCAACAAAGAACTGTACCCGTACCAGGAGCGCGAAGTGGAAACCATCATAGTGCACCCCCAGTACTACCCCAAGACACTACACAACGATATAGCGTTACTCTTCTTGAAAACCCCGGTGGAAATCGCTGAGAACGTAAACGTGGTTTGCTTACCACCTCAAGGTGGTACCGTGGATCACGCCAGGTGTTATTCCAGTGGATGGGGGAAGGACGTGTTTGATAAGGACGATCGCTACCAGGTGATCCTGCACAAGATCGACCTTCCGGTGGTACCACGAGACACGTGCCAGGAAAGCTTGAGGAAGACGAGACTAGGGAAAGACTTTGATCTTCACGAGAGCTTTATTTGTGCAGGGGAGGCAGACAAAGACACGTGCAGAGGTGATGGTGGAGGTCCTTTAGCTTGCCCGATTCCAGGACAAAAGAATCGGTACCAGCAATCCGGGATTTTGGCATGGGGCATCGGCTGTGTCGACACTCCTCATGTCTTTGTCAACGTAGCCCTCTTCAGAAACTGGATTGACGAACAAATCAAGACCAAGGGTATAGAAACCCGATCTTACGAATACTAAAACCAGTTTTATTTTATAACCCAAATCTTCAATAAATAAAAACAATTAACTACTCCTATAATAAAATATTTGTTTTAATTTCGTTGCAAAACTGGGTAAGGTCAACGCAGGCACGGACTGTGGTTTTCCATTGAACGTTTAAGATAGCGTAATTGCTTGTGGAGGGGAGGTCAAGTTTACAGGTGAGAACTCGTGGGTTATTAAGGTTGTGATGAAAGTGTCACTGGTAATCTGTGACCAATTTTAGGTGACCAACACTGTGGTACCATCAGTTTTGAGAATGTGGAGGTTCGCTGGGCTATTTTTTTGTTCTGTGATAGTACTAGTACCAGTAAGGGGCGAGAATGAGTTCGTACCGACGAACTACGAAATACTAACTACACCCACGATGGGTAGTTTTGGGGCGCAGGAGAGGTGCGGAGAGGGTGAAGGGAAAGGGCTCCTCCATTGCGTCCCTTACCATAGATGTGACCCTGAAACGAATACGACGATACCAGAAGAACAAGAAGCACCGGAGATAGATTACAGTACTTTGATCGACATCAGGTAGGTTATGTTTGAACTCTTTTTTTTTCCTAAACACTAAATATAGCCATTTTTAAATTAATTCAACGTCGATAAGTCCACCAGTGGCCCGCTAGCACCGTTTTGGATAATAAACATATTTTTAGAATGGCTTATGATAACGTAATTAGTTTAAAATTGCTCTAACGTTTTTTTTTTCCGATAGAATTGCTGCACGGGAAGTTTCCAGCGACAATCACACAAGCCAAAATTACAGAAATTATACGCAGTGCGCAAAATTCAATAAAGTTTCCGGTGAATCTGGTGCATAAAATGTAAAAACTTGCTGCCAATATAAATAATTTACTCTATTATGTTTCAAGGAAGAGTTTATGTGGAATTTAAAAAATAATTGAGTATCCTTGCTGAATCCGTATTGTGTGTAAACGTTAGCACGATTGTGTGCAAAAATTAACTGTACATAAAATTGTGAGTCGGGTCTCGATGGCTTCGACCGGTCTAAAATGTAATTTTATTGCTGGTTAACGAACTGGAGTTTTTGAAATTATTCCAGGGTTGTAAAACCAGTTTGGAATAAAATCAACAAGAAGTAAGATAGGTATCTGTGTGCACGGCGACTTTTATAAATTTAATGAGAGGAGTCGGGAGAATTTCCAATACACTTTATTTATCATTCACATTCTTTTATGAAATGAATGTCTCCGTTTTCCTCATTATGGAGAATAAAGTGGTTGTCAAATCAATAGAAAACATTTTAAAGAGTTGATTAGGTAATGTTTTTGACTCATACTTAAATTAATAGGCCAAGAAACTAGTTTTAAATTAACGGGATTTAAAAAAAATGTTTTGATAAGAAACCTAAATGTAAATGATGTCATCGAGTATAACTGTAAATGGTTGTATTAGTTTCAAATTTTCAATAATTATGACCATTAAGCAAGAATGAACGTTCACAGAAACAGAATAATACTTTTCTTTCACTCAACACAGGAATTAATGATGTCATTTTACAGTTTTGTCGAAAAATCTTATTTCAGTATTAAAAAGTAACATTGTCTTGAACTTGTGATTTATGAATTCGTGTTGAATTTTTATTAAAGACATCGAGATTTTTGGAAAAAAAAAATAAATTTTATAACAATTTTTCGAACTTTCGATTTTTTGGATTTTGGATTTTTCGATTTCTCGAATTTTCCCAATTCCCTTTTGCAATTTTTCTCGATTTTTTAATTTTTCGATTTGTCGATTTCTCAATTTATCGAGGTTTCGACGTTTGTATTATTTGATTGTTCAGTTTATCGATTTTAAATTTTTTTAAATTTTGCGATTACCGATTTTTTTTTAATTTTCAATTTTTCAATTTTTAATTCTATTTCTGTTTCTCGACTTTTGGAATTCTCGATTTCTCGATCTTTCCATGATTCGATGGCTTTTTTAAGTTTTTGATTTTTAAAATTTGTTATTTTATTATATCCTATACATGGAGATTTTTGGAAAAAATTAGGAGTAAACATTTTTCGATCTATCAATTTTTTGAACTTTCGATTTTTCGATTTCTCCATTCTTTTTCGAATTTTTTATTTTTCTATAGTTCAGTTTTCGGATTTTTTGGTTTTTTGATTCTACAATTTCTCGACTTTTCGATTTCTCGATTTTTTAGTTTCTTAATTATTCGATTTTTCAATCTTTCGATTTTTTAGGTTTTTGGTTTTTTAAATTTTCCGTTTTCGATTTTTCGATGTCTGGATTTTTCAATTTCCCGAGTTTTCAATTTTTCATTTACTCGATTTTGTATTTTTCGATTACTTAATTTTCGACATTTCAGTTTTGGGATTTTTCAATTTTTTGATTCCTCAATTTCGCTTCCGTTCTAGATTTTTCGCTTCTTCAAATTTTCGATTTTTAAAATCTTCGATTTTTTTTTAATTTTAAAATTTTCAATTTTTCATTCTCAATTTTTCTACTTCTCGATTTTTTTATTCTTCGAGTTCCCGATCTTTTCATGTTTCGTATTCTCAACGTTTCAATATTTCAGTTTCTCGAAGTTGCGATTTTTCGAGTTCTCAATTTTTCTATTATTCTTCGATTTTTTAAATTTTTCGATTTATCAACTTCTCGATTTATCGAGATTTCGACGTTTCTGTTATTCATTTCAATTTCTCTTTTTTGTTAATTATTCAATTTTTCAAGTAGCGATTTTTATTATTTAAAATTTTTCAGTTTTTCTATTTATAATTTTTTTCGGCAATTTCGGGTTTTAGACTTCTCGAATTGTCGATTTCTACTTATACTTTTTATATTTTTTATACTCTGTATCCTTTTCCTCATTTTCGTCCTTTTCATCGTTTTCATTCTGTTGATACTTTTTATACTCTTTATACTCTCCTTTTCGTCCTTATCGCCCTTTTCGTCCTTTTCGTATTTCTCGTCCTTTTCGTCGTCATCATCCTCCTCATTCTCTTCATCCTTTTTATCCATTTCATCCTTTACGTCCTTTTCGTCCTTTTCGTCCTTCTCGTCCTTCTTGTCCTCTTCGTCCTTTTTGTCCTTTCCGTTCTTCTCGTCCTATTCGTCCATTACTTCCTCTTCGTCCTTCTCGTCCCCCTCGTCCTCCTCGTCCTCCTCGGCCTCCTCGGCCTCCTCGGCCTCCTCGTCCTTCTCGTCCTTCTCGTCCTTCTCGTCCTCTTCGTCCTCTTCGTCCTCTTCGTCCTCTTCGTCCTCTTCGTCCTCTTTGTCCTTTTCTTCCTTCTCGTCCTCTTCGTACTTCTCGTCCTCTTTATCCTCTTCGTCCCCTTCGTCCTTTTCGTCCTCTTCGTTCCCTTCGTCCTCTTCGTCCTTTTCCTCCTCTTCGTCCTTGATACTTTTTATACTCATTATCCTTTTCGTCCCTTTCGTCTTTTCCTTTTCGTCCTTCTTGTCCTTCTCATCCTCTTCGTCCTTGTCGTCCTCTTCGTCCACTTCGTCCTTTTTGTCCTTTCGTCTTTTTCTTCCTTTCGTCCTTTTCGTCCTATTCGTCCTTCTCGTCCTTCTCGTTCTTCTCGTCCTTCTAGTCCTTCTCGTCCTTTTAGTCCTTTTCGTCCTTGATACTTTTTATAGTTTTTATACTTGTTATACTCTTTATCCTTTTCGTCCTTTTCGTCTTTTCCTTTTCGTCCTTCTCATCCTTCTTGTTCTCTTCGTCCTTCTCGTCCTCTTCCTCCACTTCGTCCTTTTCGTCCTCTCATCCTTTTCTTCCTTTTCGTCCTTTTCCTCCTTCTCATCCTTCTCGTCCTCTTTGTTCTTCTCGTCCTTCGTACTTTTCGGCCTTTCGTCCTTTTTGTTCTTTTCGTCCTTTATGTTCATTTAGTCCTTTTCGTCCTTCTTGTTCTCTTCGTCCTTCTCGTCCTCTTCCTCCACTTCGTCCTTTTCGTCCTTTCATCCTTTTCATCCTTTTCGTCCTTTTCGTCCTTTTAGTCCTTTTCGTCCTTGATACTTTTTATAGTTTTCTTTTCGTCCTTTTCGTCTTTCCATTTCCTCCTTCTCATCCTTCTCGTCCTTCTCATCCTTCTCGTCCTTCTCGTCCTCTTCGTTCTTCTCATCCTCCGTCCACTTCGTCCTTTTCATCCTTTTCGTCCTTTTCGTCCTTCTCGTCCTTCTCGTCTTTCTCGTCCTCTTCGTCCTTTTTGTCCTTTTCGTCCTTCTCGTCCTATTCGTCCATTTCTTCCTCTTCGTCCTTCTCGTCCCCCTCGTCCTCCTCATCCTCCTTGTCCTCCTCGTCCTTCTCGTCCTCTTCGTCCTCTTCGTCCTTTTCATCCTTTTCATCGTTTTCGTCCTTTTCGTCCCCCTCGTCTTCGTCGTCCTCCTCGTCCTCGTCCGTATCGCCCTCCCCGTCCTTCTCGTCCTCTTCGTCCTCTTCGTCCTCTTCGTCCTTTTCTTCCTTCTCGTCCTCTTCGTACTTCTCGTCCTCTTTATCCTCTTCGTCCCCTTCGTCCTTTTCGTCCTCTTCGTTCCCTTCGTCCTTGTCGTCCTCTTCGTCCACTTCGTCCTTTTTGTCCTTTCGTCCTTTTCTTCCTTTCGTCCTTTTCGTCCTATTCGTCCTTTTTGTCCTTCTCGTCCTTCTCGTCCTTCTCGTTCTTCTCGTCCTTCTAGTCCTTCTCGTCCTATTCGTCCTTGATACTATTTATACTTCTTATAGTTTTTATACTTGTTATACTTTTTATCCTTTTCGTCCTTTTCGTCTTTTCCTTTTCGTCCTTCTCGTCCTTCTTGTTCTCTTCGTCCTTCTCGTCCTCTTCCTCCACTTCGTCATTTTCGTCCTTTCATCCTTTTCATCCTTTTCGTCCTTGTCGTCCTTCTCGTCCTCTTCGTTCTTCTCGTCCTCCGTCCACTTCGTCCTTTCGTTCTTTTCGTCCTTTCGTCCTTTTCGTCCTTTTTGTTCTTTTCGTCCTTTTCATCCTTTTCGTCTTTTCGTCCTTTTCGTCCTTTTCGTCCTTTTCGTCCTTTTAGTCCTTTTCGTCCTTGACACTTTTTATAGTTTTCTTTTCGTCCTTTTCGTCTTTTCCTTTTCCTCCTCATCCTTCTCGTCCTTCTCGTCCCCTTCGTTCTTCTCGTCCTCCGTCCACTTCGTCCTTTTCGTCCTTTCGTCCTTTTCGTTCTTTTCATCCTTTTTGTTCTTTTCGTCCTTTTCCTCATTTTCGTCCTTTTCGTCCTTTTCATCCTTTTCGTTCTTTTCATCCTTTTCGTCCTCTTCGTCCTATTTTTACTTTTTATACTTTTTATACTTTTTATACTTTTTATACTTTTTATACTTTTTATACTTTTTATACTTTTTATACTTTTTATACTTTTTATACTTTTTATACTTTTTATACTTTTTATACTTTTTATACTTTTTATACTTTTTATACTTTTTATACTTTTTATACTTTTTATACTTTTTATACTTTTTATACTTTTTATACTTTTTATACTTTTTATACTTTTTATACTTTTTATACTTTTTATACTTTTTATACTTTTTATACTTTTTATACTTTTTATACTTTTCTTCCTTTCCTTTTCGTCATTCTCGTCCTTTTCGTCCTTTTCATCCTCTTCATCGTCTTTCGACTTTTTAATTTCTCGATTTTTCGACTTTTCGACTTCTCGGTTTTAGATTTTTCAATTTTTAAATTTTTCGATTCATAGTTTTATTTTAAATTATAATTTTCAGTTTCACTTCTCGACTTTTTTGATTTCACGACCTCTTTTCATCTTTTAATTTCGCAACGTTTCTATATTTCAATTTTTCTGGATTTTTTAATTTATCGATTTTTCGACTTATGGAGATTTCGACGTTTCTATTATTCGACTGTTTAATTTATCTTTTTTTTAATTTTTTGATTTTTCGATTATAGATCTTTATTATTTAAAATTTTTCAGTTTTTCAATTGTAAGTTTTCGATTTTGCGCCATTTGGATTTCTCAAGTTTTCGACTGCTCGACTTTTCAATTTCTCAATCTTTCCATGTTTCGATTTCTCGGATGTTTTAATTTTTCAATTTTTCGACTTTAGATCAGGTTTTTAAATTTTTCTATTTTTCAACTTTTCAAATTTTCAATTCTTCGATTTTTTAATTTTTCGGTTATCGAATTTAAAATTTTTTTCAGTTTTTCAATTTCTCGATGTTGCAATTTTTCAATGTTTCGATTTTTCAGTTTTAGGATATTCCGTTTTTTCAATTTGACGTTTGACGATTCTTTGATTTTTTGCTTTTTTTTAAGTGTTTCGTTCTCGATTTCTCGATGTTTTAATTTTTCGATTTTGCGCCTTTTCGATGTCTTGGTTTTTTGACAGTTTTTCGGATTTTCATTTTTTTCGATTTTTAATTTTTCAATTTTTCGTTATGTCGATTTATCAGTTTTTCGATATTTCAATTTTATAATTTTTTCGTCCAATCCAACATTTCGATGATTCGTTTGTTCAGTTTCCCCATATCATGAGAAGAAAACGTTGCCTAATTGAACTTTTCACAATTCCAGGTTAGGCGAAGACAGCCCTTGCACCGAAATTCTCCACGTCTGCTGCCCAATCGGAAACCACGGAACCTCCCCCATGCCCCCCACCCCAACCGGGCCAACCCCCCCCACACCATCCCCAACCCCAACCCCCGCCCCACCCGAACCCACCCCCGACCACAAACCCCCCCCCAGCCGCCTATCCCAATGCGGAATCCGCAACATCAACGGCGTCGGCTTCAAAATCACCGGCAACACCCACAACGAAGCCGAATACGGCGAATTCCCGTGGATGGTCGCCATCTTGAAAACCAACTACAACCCATCAGTCGACCCGGTTCTGGCGGAGTGCGGCGGCTCCCTAATCGCACCCAGAGTAGTCCTAACGGGAGCCCACTGCGTCGGAAAGTAACTCTCCACGCTCAAACAAAACACCCCAACTCACTCAAGTTTTAGGTTCAACCCCGAAGACCTCAAGGTTCGCGCCGGCGAGTGGGAAACCCAGAGCCAAAACGAGCGCTACCCCTACCAGGAACGCAACGTCAAAGAAATAATCATCCACGAAAAATTCGACGACAAGCATCTGTTCAACGACGTGGCGCTCCTGGTTTTGGAAAAGCCGTTTTCTAAGGCTAGACACATCGGGACGGTTTGTCTGCCGGAACAGGATGAAGAGGTTGTATCGAAGGAGTGCTATGCGACTGGGTGGGGGAAGGATTTGTTCGGGCGCGAGGGTCAGTTTCAGGTGATCCTCAAAAAGATTGATTTGCCTATAGTGCCTAGGAAGGAGTGTGAAGCGGCTCTTAGGGACACAAGACTTGGACATAACTTCGAGTTGGACGCTAGCTTCGTCTGCGCTGGGGGCGTTCCTGGAAAAGACACCTGCACGGTGGGTTATGGTACAATCGCACGCAAATGTTTTGAGCCTATGGGCGGATCATTTTTGCCTGCCCTCACCGAAGAAGGCGGTCCAAATCCTTCAAGGGCAGAATTTGTAGGTAGGCTCAAACTACAACGAAGTTTACATTTGGTAAGAAATATTTATGGCTCACACCAGTTCTCTCGAATTTGTCGGAGAAGATTTAGCAGGTAGTTGTTCCCATAAAATAATGGTCACTTTCGTTCGAGAGTAACGATGGTCCGGACATGAATTATTTTGCTTTATAACATATTTCAACCAATTGTTCCGTATAAAAAATTTCATCACTTTTTCAAATAAAATACTCTTAAAAAAAAAAACGATATTGTCGTTGAGTGACATGTAACTGGCATAATAATAAAAACGTGCCATTTTTGTTAACTGATATTTTTTTCATAAATGTCGCAAATTTATTAAATTTGTCTAATCATCCCCACCAATAATCTGATGACGTCAATTCAAATTTATGCATAGGAAATGGGTTTTAAATTGTATACAGTAACATAGTCCTACACATGTAGTTTATGACTCCGTGTTGAGTTTTTATCCGAAACGTCCAGATTTTTGGAAAAAAAATCAAAATTATAAAACAATATTTTGCAATTTAATTTTGACTTTGCAAAATCGAATAATTTGAAATCTTGCAGATGTTTTAAAGTCATGATAAACATAATACATTTTTAATTAAAATATATTTGCTTATCCCCTCTAAAAAATTTATGACGTCACCTCAAAATTTTGCAGAATAAATCCTATCTTAAATGTATAAAATATGATGAGTTTCTATACTTGTGATTTATCACTGCATTAATATTTTTTAGATTTGGTTATACAGGGTGTCTCAAAAAAGTTAATGACTGAGTCAATTTATTTTATTGAAGAAATCAAGAATAGCAAAACTGAATACTTTGAAATATTGTAGATGTTTTGAAATTTTTGTAAGCATGGTAACTTTTTCGAAAATTTGATTAATCAAATATGCGCAAAATCAAAAATCGGAAAAACTGAAATTCACTAATGCAAAAAACAGAAAATCGAAAAATACAAATCGTAAAAATCGAAAATCTAAAAATGGCTAATCAAAAAATCGAAAATTCAATGAATCAAATACCTAGGTCGATCGAAAAGTGGAAATTCACAAACCTCAAAAATCGAAAAATCGAAAATTGAAAAACGGGAAAACCAAAAAATCGAAAAGTCAAAAATTTGTAATATTGAAAATTAAAAAAATCAAAAACAAAAATACAAAAAATCGGAAATTAATATAATCAAAATATATAAAGTAGAAAAAAATTGCAAAGCCTAAAAACTGAAACGAACAGAAAAATTGGAAAAACAAAAATTCGAAAAATCTAAAATCGAAAAAGTGGAAAATCGAAAATCTGAATAAAGAAACTTGGAAATTCTGAAAATTGAATTCGAAAACCAAAAAATCGGGAAGTAAAAAAATTGAAGTCTAACAGTTGAGAATAGAAAAACTGAAAAACCGAAAATTCTAAAAATCGACAATGGACAAATTGAAATTCGCAAAATTTAAATTGAAAAATTGAACATAGAAAAATCGATGAATTGAAAAATCGAAAATTCGACTACTCAAATTTTCGAAAAATCGAAAAATCATAAAACTGAAAAATCCAAAATTCTAATGATCGAAAGTCTGAAAACTGAAAATCGAAAATTCTGAAAAGCGGAAAATAGAATATCGAAAAATTTAAAAGAAAGAAAATTGAAATCTAAGAACCCAAGAATGGAAAAATTAAAAATCAAAAATTCGAAAAATCAAAACCGAAAAATTCAAACATTTAAAAAGAAAATCGAAAAATCAAACATCTGAAATTTGAAACTCGAAAATTTGGAAAATCGAAAAGTAAAAAAATTGAAGTCTAAAAATGGAAAACTGAACAATCGAAAATTCGAAAATCAAATATCGAAAAATCGAAAAGCCGAAAAATCGAAAATTTGATAAATCAGATATGCGAAAAACAGAAAATCTGAAAATACAAAACTGGAAAATCAAAAATTTAAAAATGGAAAAACCGAAAATCGAAAATTCAATGAATCTAATACGTAGGTCGATCGAAAAACTGGAAATTCACAAATCTGAAAAATCGAAAATTTGCAAGATTGAAAAACCGAGAATTGAAAAATCAAAAAACCGAAAAATCGAAAAATAGGAAAACCGAAAATCCATAATATTGAAAACTCTAAAAGTCGACAATTCAAAAATCAAAAAATTGGAAGTAAAATAATCGAAAAATCGAAAAGTAAACAAATTGCAAAGCCTAAAAACTGACGAACAGAAAAATCGAAAAATCATAAAATCAAAAAGGGGAAAATCGAAAACTGGAAATTGAAAAATCGAAGATTGGAAAATCGAAAAATCTAAAATCGGAATATCGAGAATCGACAAATTAAAAAACCGAAAAATCGAAAAATTAAAAATTGGAAATCGAAAAATGAAAAAAAAAACGAAAATTCAAAAATCGAATAATTCGAAACTAAAATAATAGAAAAGTGGAAAAGTAAAAATTGCAAAGTCTCAAAAATGACGAACAGAAAAATCGAAAAATATCTAAAAATGGAAAATCGAAAAATCGAAAATCGGAAAATGGAAAAACCGAAACTTCGATGAAACAAATACTCGACAAAACGAAAAGTAAAAAAATTGCAAAGCCTAAAAATTGAAAAATCAAAAAACCGGAAAATTGAAAATCGAAAAAACGACGATCGAAAAAAAATAAAAAAATCGAAAAGTGGAAAATCGGAAAGTAACAAAATTGACATCTAAAAGCTGAAGAAGGGAAAATTCTAAAACGCAACAATCGAAAAAAGCAAAATTAAAAATTGAAAATTTGAAAAATGGAAAATCGAAAACTCGAATATCGAGATTTTGAAAAATCGTAAAAATGATAATCGAAAAATGGAAATGCTCAAAAATCGAAAATTCGATTAATCAATATTCTAAAAATCGAAAAAACGGACACAAATCCACAAAACTGAAAAATCGAAAATCGAAATACGAAAAATTAAAAAACCGAAAAATTGAAAAATCCCAAATCGTAAAATGGAAAAACCGAAAATTCAAAAATTAAACTATCGGAAAGCAAAATATAATCGAAAAATGCAAAAAATTGCAAAATCTAAAAACTGACGAACAGAAAAATCCAAAAATCTAAAAATGGAAAGACGAAAAATCGAAAATTGAAAGAATGGCAATTCAAAAAATCGAAACATCGAAAAATAAAAAAAAACGAAAAATTAAAAAATCGAAAAACGAAAAAACTAAAAACTCGAAACTTCAAAATACCGCAAATTTGAAAAATCAGAAAATTGGTAAGTAATAAAATCGAAAAGTTGATAGAAAAATTGAAACTGAAAAATCTAATTCGATGAAATGGTTGGTCGAAAAAACGAAAAATCGAAAATCGAAGTGACCTTTTTTTGAGACAGACTGTATAAGTAAATCTAAAAAATATTACTGCAATGATAAATCACAGGTATAGACTCATCATATCAAATTTTACGATGACGTCATGCATTTTTTGGCGAAGATAAGCAAATACATTTTGATCGTAGCTTTGAAAGTATTCTTCGACTTTCGTTCTATTTCAAAATTTACTCTTTGTATATTTCAGTGGTCACAACGAGTTCACTAACTACGCTGAAGTATGCCAAGATTAAATTTGTCACCGAAAAGATGTCGGAAGTAATAAACGGATAAAGTAAAGCGTCAAACATGATTGATAAACTTTGAACCAAAATTATGAAGTTTATAAACTGAACATTTTTTTTGTTTTTTGAAATGTAGTACACTTCAAAAAATGTCCGTGACTTATTTTAGTATGAATTTTATAACTATGGTTGGCACAATTAGACCTAATATTGGTGTGGTTTTGAGCATATTCTCGATTTTATTAGAGCAGAATAGGTTTTTTTTTCTAATTTTATAACTTACGGAAACTAATAGCACATCACAGATATTGCAAAAAAAATTGGGCTCAGGTTCCAACTAATTGACAAGATTTCAAAGCATTCAGTTTTGCAATTCTTGATTTCTTCAATAAAATAAATTTACTCAGTCATTATTTTTTTTGAGTCACCCTGTATGTATAAACAAATCCAAAAAATATAAATGGAATGGTAAATCACAAGTATAGACTCATCATATTCTGAACATTTGAGATAGGGTATTTATAACATTAAAACTAATTCAGAGTAAGAATTTGGTCATCACGTAAATTTCGTTGTAGTTTGAGCCTACCTACAAATTCTGCCCTTGGACGATTTGGACCGCCTCCTTCGATGACGATCGGCAAAAATGATCCGCCCATAGGCTCAAAACATTTGCGTGCAATTGTACGACTAGGTGGTACTTAAAGTAATCAATTGTGGGTTATAGGGTGACGGTGGAAGTCCCCTTGTGTGTCCAGACCCGAAAAACCCAGGTCGGTATGTGCAAGTTGGAATCGTGGCTTGGGGAATTGGTTGTGGGACCGAGGTCCCAGGAGTTTACGCTGACGTTGCGAAATTTAGAAATTGGGTGGACCAGACCATGCAAAGACTGAACCTTAGCAATAAGCCATACGTTGCTTAAATTTCTATATTGTTTAGCAATCCTTGATCTCTGACTTAAGTCTGTACACATAATAAAGTTTTGATATGATTGTGGTATCTGTGACCTTTTGACCGACTGCAGCTCACTTTCTACGAAACGATAATTTAAAAGTGGATTGTCCGTGAACTCCTTATCAGGTGGGTTTTCCTCTTGTTTTTGTTCCAACGAATTGATAAAACCATATCCCACCACGTAACAAATGTCGTTAACACTGGAGTCGTGCATAAGGTAAACCTGTTTCATCGACGTCATCCAAGATTAATAACAACCATCTCTATTATTCTCACTTATTTCCCACTCTTTGTAGTGCTTAAAAACCAACGAGACCCGAACTGGTGTCTAAGTCGTGGTTCCAGGGTAAGACCTATTATACTTGTTTTTAGTACCAATTAAGTATTCGTTCCGCCGAGTTGATTTTCTCATTAGCACACAACAATCTAAATAAAGCACAGATAACCTTCAACCTTGTCCGACGACTACCAGTAAAAGTGGAAATCAGCCGGTGGGATTTTGTTACGAGACGGTATTCCCCTGAATCAATTTAATAAGAACACAACTCTTCACGCTTCGTTTGCTCCTCGACCAGTTTATAATTTCACATTGTGTCTAGTCATAGCTTCAGAATGAAGCTGTTTATCCTTGTACTTTTTGCATCGACACACTTAATTCTGGCACAAAATAGCAAAGACGACGCTATTAATAGCATCTTCGGAGATGACTACGAAGAAGTCACACCTCCTCCGCTCAAGAGCATCGGGGCTTTAGCCAAGTGTGGTGAAGGTGCCCAGGAAAACAAATTCGTGTGTGTGCCCTACTACAACTGCAACCCGGACACCAACACCGTGGAGGTAAACCCAGACTTAGACGGCGCCAACAAGATCAACATACGGTAAGAACTCACTCGTAGCATAGAATATCTTCATTGAAATATTTATTTAGACTCGGAGATGAAGACGACGAGTCCAAGTGTGACCACTACTTGGAGATTTGTTGCAAAGTGGGTGACAGTACGGATGATGGTACCGACGACCGTGTGGTTGACGGTGGTACCCAAACTATCCCACCGACGAGACCCACACCCAGACCAACTTCACCACCAGAACCCAGACCCAAACCGCTCCCTCCACAAGAGGACGATACCCCAACACCCAGTCAGAACACAAGTCGACGCGTAAACTGCGGACTTAGAAACAACCAAGGTCTCGATTTTAACTTGGTTGGTGGTACCAACGAAGCTAACTTTGGCGAATTCCCCTGGATGGTGGCAATTCTCCGAAAGAACCCCAAATCTGGAGAAAACATAGCTGTTTGTGGAGGTTCCTTGATCGGACCTAAGGTGGTTTTAACTGGGGCACACTGCGTCCACACGTAAGACTACAATCCGTCATAAACCACACTAACTTAACGTTTGTAGTGTGAACATCAACGATATCAAGATTCGAGCCGGGGAATGGGACACCCAGACCCAGAACGAGCGCATTCCGCACCAGGAACGTAACATCGAACGAAAAATCGTCCACAACCACTTCACCAAAGGGAATCTGTACAACGACGTCGCCCTCCTAATCCTGGATCGTCCCTTAACCAAGACCAGAAGCATCGGGACGGTGTGTTTACCCCAAGACAACCAACACTTCGATTCCAGGGAATGCTTTGCCACAGGCTGGGGCAAAGACAGGTTCGGGCAAGAGGGCCAATACGCCGTCATTCTAAAAAAATTGCAGCTGCCACTAGTCCAGAATCAACCTTGTCAGGACGCCCTCAGGAAAACCCGTCTCGGGAATTCCTTCATTCTTCACCGTTCCTTCACTTGTGCAGGCGGCGAGCCCGGTTTAGACACGTGCACGGTAAGTTATATTACCACCCAGAAAGTCTCAAGTCTGATGGTTTATCCCTAGGGCGATGGTGGCAGTCCTTTGGTGTGTCCCGACCCTTCCAACCCCAATCGCTACCTCCAAGTGGGTATAGTGGCCTGGGGGATCGGCTGTGGCGAAAATCAAGTCCCTGGAGTCTACACCGACGTGGCCAACTTCCGAAATTGGATCGACCTTAAATTGCAAGAAACAGGCATCGGTATCGATTCATACATCGTATAATTACAGCGGTGTTCGTTATTTATGTAAATTAGTCTCGAATAAAGTCATTTTTATCCAAGTCGATTGCACTTTCTACATAGATAAACCGACTTCCTTATGCATAATCGAAATAAAAACCGGCGTCGAGTTGTAACATTGACACAGTGGAACGATGAGTACCTCGACGATCTTGTTAGCTTTGACCAGTTTTTGCTTAAGTGGTGCCTACGATTTTTTCGACAATTACGTGGAGGTTCCAACACCGCCCCCTGAGTCCGTCGGGGCTATCCCCAAATGCGGCGAAGGTGTCCAAAAAGGGCGATATTTGTGTGTGCCGTACTACAACTGCGACCCACTTACTAACACGGTTGTGGACTATCCAGAAGTGGATGGTTCAGCTATTAAGGAACCGAGGTCCAGAAGTGACCCTCGCTGTGGACACTATTTGGAAGTGTGTTGTCAGTTGAGTCGTCCGACGACGGTTAACATAGAACACGCCCCTACTGTCAATTTCGACTTCAAGCCGACTTGTGGGGTCTCTGACGAAACTGACTGGATGGTAGGTTTGTTCAACACGTCTGATAGTACCAATAGACCGTTTTGTGGAGGTTCTTTACTGTCGCCTGTGGTGGTACTAACCGCTGCTCACTGTGTCGAAAGGTTTCAGTCCAACCAAATCAAAGTGGCAGTCGGAGAACAAGAAAAAAACGTCTCTGAAGTCATAATTCACGAGCATTATTTGTCGAGCGCTCTGTACAATGACGTAGCTATTTTAATTTTGAATAGTTCCTTGGTTGGAACTAACAACATAGGTACTATATGTGTACCAAAAACTCTTGACGATATTAATCAAGAAGATTGTATGGTTAGTGATTCAGACAATGTTTTTCCTGAAAAATTGAAGCGTGTGGCGAAAGTACCAAATAAAGTGTGTCAAGATGTTTTGAGGAAAAAAGTGGGAGGGCAGTTTTTGTTGCAGCACTCTTTTATGTGCGCTGGTACCAAAACTGGTGACGATGTTTGTGTGGTACTTTTTGTGTTTGGTAATTTCTGGTACTATTTTTTATTCTGGCTACTTTTAGGGAGATGGTGGTGGCCCGCTGGTTTGTCCCGATTCCTCTAAACGGTATTTCCAGATTGGTATTGTTTCTTGGGGAATTGATTGTGGTGGTACCACTCCAACTGTTTACGCTGATGTGGTACAATTCCGAGAATGGATTAAATACAAGTTAACTGAGCTGGGGTACAGTTCACACTCGTATTCGAAGAATGATTAAGTTAATAAAGTGATGTACTTTGTACTTGAATACAGTTTAGTGGGGTCAAAAAATAAGATATCATTTTTATATAATAATAAAAATATTTTGCATTTTCAATCTCCAACTCAACATGGTAGAAATAATTGTGGTAAAATACGAAAATGTAGGTCTTCCGTTTCCGTTTGTCTGTCGTTTCTTCATTTTGTTATTAAAATAATATTCGCAGAATCAAATTTTATCATTTTCCTTTTTCTTCAATTTTACAGTTTTTTGATATTATAACTAATTTTTAGTTTTTTCAACTGTGATTTTCTCAATGTTTTTAATTCTGGACTTTCAAATTTTTCAATTTTTCGATTCTTCACTTTTTCAGGTTATTGAAATTATTTTTCACTTTCTCAATTTTACATTTTTTGATGTTCCAATTTTTTGTTTTCAATTTTTCAAGTTCTTAATGTAGGAGTATAATTTTTTCATTTTCTCGATTATTAATTCTTCATTTTTACAATTTTTTGGTGTAACATTTTTTCGTTTTTTCTTTTCCTTCGATTGTATCATTTTTTGAAATCACAATTTTTCGTTTTTCAATTTTTTTGTTTTTAATTGTTCGATTTTTCAATTTTACGTTTCTTCAATTTTGTTTATTTTTTTGTGTCTTTCGAGATGCAAAAAATGAAAAACTAAATACTGAGAAATTAAAAAATTTAAAATGGAAAAAGTAAAAATCGAAAAATTGCAATAGTCAAAATTCGTAAAATTGAAAAAGTGAACATTTTTTAAATTTTATTAGTATTATTATTATATATTTAAAATGAAATCTAGAAAAACTTCAAATGAAAAATTGACGAAACCAAATATTGGAAAATCTAAAAATAAAAAACCCTAAATTTGAAATATTTTACATTTAAAAAGAAGAAAAATTATAAAATCAGGGCATTGAAAAACCGAAAGTTTTGATTTTATTTTTCATTTTCTCCAGCTTATATCGTAAGTTTCGTTTTTTCATTTCCTGTATTTTTTTGCGATTGTTCTCCCGATTGCATAATTTTTCGTTTATTCATTTTTTCAAATTTTCAATCCCCGATTTTTCAATATCAGTTTTTCGATTTTCCGCTTTTAAATTTTTCAGTTTTACAATTTTTGGATTCTTAAGTTTCTCAATTTTTAATATTTCGATTTTCCAATTTTTCGGTTCTTGAATTTTTCAAGTCCTTGATTTTCAGTTTTTAGAATTTCCAAAGTTTTCATTTAATACTTTTTCGTTTTTCCATTTTGATTTTATAATTTTGCCATTTTTGATTCGGAAAGTTAAATCGAAAAATCCAAAAAGTGGAGTATCGAAAAATTTCAAATCGACGAAACTAAAAGTTGAAACACTCAAAAGAAAAACTTAAAATTCGAAAAAATTAATGAATCGGGAAATTGGAAATAAGAAAAACGTGAAACAGAAAAATTGAAAAAGCCAAAAATTGAAAGATCGAAAAACTGGAAAATTAAATACACATCGAGAAATTGAAAAATTAAAAACCGAAAAATTGCGGAAAGAAACAAAAATTGAAACACTGGAAAAGTAAAACCGAGAAACTTAAAAATCAAAAAAATTAATGAATAGAAAAATTGGAAAGAAGAAAAAACGTGAAAGTGAAAAATCGGAAAACCCAAAAAGTGTAAAATTAAAAAAGTATAGAATCATCAAAATTGTAAAGTATAAAAACTGTAAGATTAATAAAAGAACGAAAAATTAAAAATTAAATATTGAGAAAATGAAAATTTAAAAATCTAAAATTTGAAAAATTTCACATTGAAAAAAATAAAAAATACTAAATTAGAACAATAAAAAACCGAAAGTTCTTGACTTTATTTTTCATTTTCTCGAGTTTATATCATAGTTAACTTCCCTTTTTTCATTTCTTTTATTTTTTATGTTTCTTCCGATTCGGTTTTTCAAATTTTCATTCTCTGATTCTTCAATTTCAATTCCTCGACTTTCCAAGTTTCAATTTTTCAGTTTTGGAATTTTTGGTTTTCCCAATTACATATGCGATTTTCAGATTTCTTTCATTTTCCATATTTCGGTTATACAATATTTCGTTTTTTCATTTAGCATTTTTTCGATTCTTAAGTTTCTCAATTTTTAATAATTCGATTTTTCAATTTGTCGGTTCTTTAATGTCTCAAATTCTTGATTTCCAGTTTTTACACTTTCCAAACTTTTCATTTTACACTTTTACGTTTTTTCGTTTTTGATTTTGCAGTCTTGCAATGCTTCCATTTTTGATTTGAAATGTTGAAAATCGAAAAATTGAAAAATCGAGAAAGAAAAAATCGGAAAAAACTGAAAAATCGAAAAACCGAAAAAATGAAAAATTGGAAAAAAAAAGCGACAGTAAACAATTGGAAAAACCAAAAATTGTAAGATTAAAAAACTGAAAAATTTAAAATCGAAAAATTGAAAAATTGAATATTGAGAAATTAAAAACCAAAAATGAAAAAATTAAAAATCGAAAAATTGCAATATTCAAAATTCGTGAAAGTGAAAAGGTGAAACATTTTAAAAATTGCAGAAACGAAAAATTGGAAAATCGAAAAAGTCTAAAATCTAAAATTGAAAAAGCGAAAAATTTAAAAATCTAAAAGTAGAAAAATCGGAAAACTAAAAACCCAAAATTTGAAAATTTTCACATAGAAAATATGAAATCAGAACATTGAAAAACTGAAGGTTCTTGATTTTATTGTTCATTTTCTCAAGTTTATAATCATATCTTTCGTTTTTATTATCTTTATTTTTTTATGTTTCTTTCGATTTTATATTTTTTCGTTTATTCAATTTTTCAATTCCTCAATATTCCAATTTTAAATTTTTCAATTTTGCAATTTTTGGATTTCTCAGTTACATACCCGATTTTCCGATTTTTTATTTTTTTAGTATTTCGTTTTTTATTTTACACTTTTTAAATTTTTAAGTTTCTCACTTTTTATTTTAATCTTTCGATTTGTCAATTTTTCGGTTCTTCAATTTTTCAAGTTCTTGATTTTCAGTTTTTAGATTTTTTCGTTTTTTCATTTTTGATTTTTCAATTTTGCAATGTTTCCTTTTTTGATTCGAAAAGTTGAAAACCGAAATACTGAAAAATCGAAATCGAAAAAGTTAAAAATTGCAAAATCCAAAAACTTGAAACACTGAAAAACTAAAAACGAGACACTTAAAAACCGAAAAATTGGAAAAGCGAAAATTGTAAAATTGAGTAATTATAGACTCATCAAAATTGTAAAGTCGAAATACTATAGCATTAATAAAAGATCGAAAAAACGAAAAATTAAATATTGAGAAATTGAATAATTAAAAATGGAAAGATTAAAAAGAGGAAAATTGCAATAATCAAAATTCGTAAAATTGTAAAAGTGAGTTTTTTTAAATTTTATTATTACAATGTATTTAAAATGAAAACTAGAAAAACTTCAATTGAAAAATTGACGAAACCAAATATTGGACAATCGAAAAATTAAAAATCCAAAATTTTAACAATTTTATATTTAAAAAGAAGAAAAATTATAAAATCAGAACATTGAAAAACCGAAACTTTTGGTCTTATTTCTCATTTTCTCCCGGTTATATCACAAGTTTCATTTTTTCATTTCCTTTATTTTTTTTTTCAATAATTCTCCCGATTGTACAATTTTTCGTTTATTCAATTTTTCAAATTTTCAGTCTCCGATTTTCAATATCAATTTTTCAGTTTTGCAACTTTTGGATTCTTGAGATTCTAAATTTTTAATATTTCGATTGTTGAATTTTTCGATTCTTCAATTTTTCAAGTTTTTAATTTCCAGTTTTTAGAATTTCCAAGGTTTAACACTTTTTCGTTTTTCCATTTTTGATTTTATAATTTTGCCATTGTTGATCCTTAAAGTTAAATTGAACATTAACATTGAAAAATCGAAAAACCGAAAAAATGTTAAATTGGAAAATCCAAAAATTGACGAAACTAAAAATTTAAACAATGAAAAACGAAAAACTTAAAATCCGTCATAAACCACACTAACTTAACGTTTGTAGTGTGAACATCAACGACATCAAGATTCGAGCCGGGGAATGGGACACCCAGACCCAGAACGAGCGCATTCCACACCAGGAACGTAACATCGAACGAAAAATCGTCCACAACCACTTCACCAAAGGGAATCTCTACAACGACGTGGCCCTCCTAATCCTGGATCGTCCCTTAACCAAGACCAGAAGCATCGGGACGGTGTGTTTACCCCAAGACAACCAACACTTCGATTCCAGGGAATGCTTTGCCACAGGCTGGGGCAAAGACAGGTTCGGGCAAGAGGGCCAATACGCCGTCATTCTAAAAAAATTGCAGCTCCCAATAGTCCAGAATCAACCTTGTCAGGACGCCCTTAGGAAAACCCGTCTCGGGAATTCCTTCATTCTTCACCGTTCCTTCACCTGTGCAGGCGGCGAGCCCGGTTTAGACACATGCACGGTAAGTTATATTACCACCCAGAAAGTCTCAAGTTTGATGGTTTGTCCCTAGGGCGATGGTGGTAGTCCTTTGGTGTGTCCAGACCCTTCCAACCCCAATCGCTACCTCCAAGTGGGTATAGTGGCCTGGGGGATCGGCTGTGGCGAAAACCAAGTCCCTGGAGTCTACACCGACGTGGCCAACTTCCGAAATTGGATCGACCTTAAATTGCAAGAAACAGGCATCGGTATCGATTCATACATCGTATAATTACAGCGGTGTTCGTTATTTATGTAAATTAGTCTCGAATAAAGTCATTTTATCCAAGTCCATTGCACTTTCTACATAGATAAACCGACTTCCTTATGCATAATCGAAATAAAAACCGGCGTCGAATTGTAACACAGACACAGTGGAACGATGAGTACCTCGACGATCTTGTTAACTTTGACCAGTTTTTGCTTAAGTGGTGCCTACGATTTTTTCGACAATTACGTGGAGGTTTCAACACCGCCCCCTGAGTCCGTCGGGGCTATCCCCAAATGCGGTGAAGGTGTCCAAAAAGGGCGATATTTGTGTGTGCCGTACTACAACTGCGACCCGCTTACTAACACTGTCGTGGACTCTCCAGAAGTGGATGGTTCAGCTATTAAGGAACCGAGGTCCAGAAGTGACCCTCGCTGTGGACACTATTTGGAAGTGTGTTGTCAGTTGAGTCGTCCGACGACAGTTAACGTAGAACACGCCCCTACTGTCAATTTCGACTTCAAGCCGACTTGTGGGGTCTCTGACGAAACTGACTGGATGGTAGGTTTGTTCAACACATCTGATAGTACCAATAGACCGTTTTGTGGAGGTTCTTTACTGTCGCCTGTGGTGGTACTAACCGCTGCTCACTGTGTCGAAAGGTTTCAGCCCAACCAAATCAAAGTGGCAGTCGGAGAACAAGAAAAAAACGTCTGTGAAGTCATAATTCACGAGCATTATTTGTCGAGCGCTCTGTACAATGACGTAGCTATTTTAATTTTGAATAGTTCCTTGGTTGGAACTAACAATATAGGTACTATATGTGTACCAAAAACGCTTGACGATATTAATCAAGAAGATTGTATGGTTAGTGGTTCAGACAATGTTTTTCCTGAAAAATTGAAGCGTGTGGCGAAAGTACCAAATAAAGTGTGTCAAGATGTTTTGAGGAAAAAAGTGGGAGGACAGTTTTTGTTGCAGCACTCTTTTATGTGCGCTGGTACCAAAACTGGTGACGATGTTTGTGTGGTACTGTTTCGTGTTTCCGGGTACTATTTTTTTAATTTGGTTACTTTTAGGGAGACGGTGGTGGCCCGCTGGTTTGTCCAGATTACTCTAAACGGTATTTCCAGATTGGTATTGTTTCTTGGGGAATTGATTGTGGTGGTACCACTCCAACTGTTTACGCTGATGTGGTGCAATTCCGAGAATGGATTAAGTACAAGTTAACTGAGCTGGGGTACAGTTCACACTCGTATACGAAGAATGATTAAAGTTAATAAAGTTATGTACTTTGTACTTGAATACAGTTTAGTGGGGTCAAAAAATAAGATATCATTTGTAAATAATAAAAATATTTTGCATTTTCAATCTCCAACTCAACATGGTAGAAATAATTCTGGTAAAATACGAAAATGTAGGTCTTCCGTTTCCGTTTGTCTGCCGTTTCTTCATTTTGTTATTAAAATAATATTCGCAGAATCAAATTTTATCATTTTCCTTTTTCTTCAATGTTACAGTTTTTTGATATTATACCTAATATTTAGTTTTTTCAACTTTGATTTTCTCAATGTTTTTAATTCTGGACTTTCAAATTTTTCAATTTTTCGATTCTTCACTTTTTCAGGTTATTAAAATTATTTTTCACTTTCTCAATTTTACATTTTTTGATGTTCCAATTTTTTGTTTTCAATTTTTCAAGTTCTTAATGTAGGAGTATAATTTTTTCATTTTCTCGATTATTAATTCTTCATTTTTACAATTTTTTGGTATAACATTTTTTCGTTTTTTCTTTTCCTTCGATTGTATCATTTTTTGAAATTACAATTTTTCGTGTTTCAATTTTTTTATTTTTCAGTTGTTTTGCGATTTATCAGTTTCTCTGTTTTTCAATTTTACGTTTCTTCAATTTTCTTTATTTTTTTAATGTTTCTTTCGATTTTATAATTTTTCGTTTATTCAATTTTTCAAATTTTCAATTTTTGATTTTTCAATTTCAATTCCTCAATTTTCCAATTTTAAATTTTTCAATTTTGCAATTTTTAGATTTCTCATACATACCCGATTTTCCGATTACCAGTTTTTAGATTCCAGTTTTTAGATTTTTTTGTTTTTTAATTTTTGATTTTTCAATTTTGAAATGTTTCCATTTTTGATTCGAAAAATTGAAAACCGGAATTTTGAAAAATCGAAATCGAGAAAGTTAAAAATTGCAAGATCCAAAAAGTTGAAACACGGAAAAACTAAAAACGAGAAACTTAAAATTCGAAAAATTAGAAAAGCCAAAAATTGTAAAATTGAGTAATTATAGTATCATCAAAATTGTGAAGTCGAAATACTGTAGCATTAATAACAGATCCAAAAAATGAAAAACTAAATACTAAGAAATTAAAAAATGAAAAAAGGAAAAAGTAAAAATCGAAAAATTGCTATAGTCAAAAATTCGTAAAATTGAAAAAACAAAAGTTTTGATTTTGTTTTTCATTTTCTCCAGGTTATATCATTCATATGTATTTCAATACCAATTTTTCGATTTTCCGCTTTTAAATTTTTCAATATTGCAATTTTTGGATTCTTAATTTTCTCAATTTCTCGATATTTCGATTTTTCAATTTTTCGGTTCTTCAATTTTTCAAGTTCTTGATTGCCAGTCATTAGAATTTCCAAAGTTATCAGTTAATACTTTTTCGTTTTTCCACTTTCTATGTTACAATTTTACCATTTTTGATTCGTAAAGTTAAATCGAAAAATCCAAAAAGTGGAGAATCGAAAAATTTCAAATCGACGAAACTAAAAATTGAAACACTCAAACGAAAAACTTAAAATTCGAAAAAATTAATGAATCGGGAAATTGGAAATAAGAAAAACGTCAAACAGAAAAATTGGAAAAGCCAAAAATTGAAAGATCGAAAAACTGGAAAATTAAATACACATCGAGAATTTGAAAAATTAAAAACCGAAAAATTGCGGAAAGAAACAAAAATTGAAACACTGGAAAAGTAAAACCGAGAAACTTAAAAATCAAAAAAATTAATGAATCGAAAAATTGGAAAGAAGAAAAAACGTGAAAGTGAAAAATCGGAAAACCCAAAAAGTGTAAAATTAAAAACATATAGAATCATCAAAATTGTAAAGTATAAAAACTGTAAGATTAATAAAAGAACGAAAAATTAAAAATTAAATATTGAGAAAATGAAAATTTAAAAATCTAAAATTTGAAAAATTTCACATTGAAAAAAATAAAACATACTAAATCAGAACATTAAAAAACCGAAAGTTCTTGACTTTATTTTTTATTTTCTCGAGTTTATATCATAGTTAACTTTCCTTTTTTCATTTCTTTTATTTTTAATTTCGTTTATTCAGTTTTTCAAATTTTCATTCTCTGATTTTTCAATTTCAATTCCTCGACTTTCCAAGTTTAAATTTTTCAGTTTTGGAATTTTTCGTTTTCCCAATTACATATCGATTTTCTGATTTCTTTCATTTTCCATATTTCGGTTTTACAATATTTCGTTTTTTCATTTTTTCGATTCTTAAGTTTCTCAATTTTTAATATTTCGATTTTTCAATTTGTCGGTTCTTTAATGTCTCAAATTCTTGATTTCCAGTTTTTACATTTTCGAAAGTTTTCATTTTAAACTTTTACGTTTTTTCGTTTTTGATTTTACAGTCTTGCAATGCTTCCATTTTTGATTTGAAATGTTGAAAATCGAAAAATTGAAAAATCGAAAAAGAAAAAATCGGAAAAAACTGAAAAATCGAAAAACCGAAAAAATTAAAAATTGAAAAGAAAAAAAAACGCGACAGTAAACAATTGGAAAAACCAAAAACTGTAAGATTAAAAAACTGAAAAATTAAAAATCGAAAAATTGAAAAATTGAATATTGAGAAATTAAAAACTAAAAATGAAAAAATTGAAAATTGAAAAATTGCAATATTCAAAATTCGTGAAAGTGAAAAGGTGAAACATTTTAAAAATTGCAGAAACGAAAAATTGGAAAATCGAAAAAGTCTAAACTCTAAAATTGAAAAAGCGAAAATTTTAAAAATCTAAAAGTAGAAAAATCGGAAAACTAAAAACCCAAAATTTGAAAATTTTCACATCGAAAATATGAAATCAGAACATTGAAAAACTGAAAGTTCTTAATTTTATTGTTCATTTTCTCAAGTTTATAATCATATCTTTCGTTTTTATTATCTTTATTTTTTTAATGTTTCTTTCGATTTTATATTTTTTCGTTTATTCAATTTTTGATTTTTCAATTTCAATTCCTCAATATTCCAATTTAAAATTTTTCAATTTTGCAATTTTTGGACTACTCAATTACATGGCCGATTTTCCGATTTTTTGTTTTTTCAATATTTCATTTTTTTATTCTACACTTTTTAAATTTTTAAGTTTCTCAATATTTATTTTAATCTTTCGATTTGTCAATTTTTCGGTTCTTCAATTTTTCAAATTCTTGATTTCCAGTTTGCAGATTTTTTCGTTTTTTCATTTTTGATTTTTCAATTTTGCAATGTTTCCATTTTTGATTCGAAAAGTTGAAAACCGAAATACTGAAAAATCGAAATCGAAAAAGTTAAAAATTGCAAAATCCAAAAACTTGAAACACTGAAAAACTAAAAACGAGACACTTAAAAACCGAAAAATTGGAAAAGGTAAAATTGTAAAATTGAGTAATTATAGACTCATCAAAATTGTAAAGTCGAAATACTATAGCATTAATAAAAGATCGAAAAAAGGAAAAATTAAATATTGAGAAATTGAATAATTAAAAATGGAAAGATTAAAAATAGCAAAATTGCAATAGTCAAAATTCGTAAAATTGTAAAAGTGAGTTTTTTTAAATTTTATTATTATTATATATTTAAAACGAAAACTAGAAAAACTTCAATTGAAAAATTGACGAAACCAAATATTGGACAATCGAAAAATTAAAAATCCAAAATTTGAACAATTTTATATTTAAAAAGGAGGAAAATTATAAAATCAGAACATTGAAAGACCGAAACTTATTTCTCATTTTCTCCAGGTTATATCACAAGTTTCGTTTTTTCATTTCCTTTATTTTTTTTTTCAATATTTCTCCCGATTGTACAATTTTTCGTTTATTCAATTTTTCAAATTTTCAGTCTCCGATTTTTCAATATCAATTTTTCAGTTTTGCAACTTTTGGATTCTTGAGATTCTAAATTTTTATTATTTCGATTGTTCAATTTTTCGATTCTTCAATTTTTCAAGTTTTTGATTTCCAGTTTTTAGAATTTCCAAGGTTTAACACTTTTTCGTTTTTCCATTTTTGATTTTATAATTTTGCCATTGTTGATCCTTAAAGTCAAATTGAACATTAACATTGAAAAATCGAAAAACCGAAAAAAGGTTAAATCGGAAAATCCAAAAATTGACGAAACTAAAAATTTAAACAATGAAAAACGAAAAACTTAAAATCCGTCATAAACCACACCAACTTAACGTTTGTAGTGTGAACATCAACGATATCAAGATAAGAGCCGGGGAATGGGACACCCAGACCCAGAACGAGCGCATTCCGCACCAGGAACGTAACATCGAACGAAAAATCGTCCACAACCACTTCACCAAAGGGAATCTGTACAACGACGTGGCCCTCCTAATCCTGGATCGTCCCTTAACCAAGACCAGAAGCATCGGGACGGTGTGTTTACCCCAAGACAACCAACACTTCGATTCCAGGGAATGCTTTGCCACAGGCTGGGGCAAAGACAGGTTCGGGCAAGAGGGCCAATACGCCGTCATTCTAAAAAAATTGCAGCTGCCACTAGTCCAGAACCAACCTTGTCAGGACGCCCTCAGGAAAACCCGTCTCGGGAATTCCTTCATTCTTCACCGATCTTTCACCTGTGCAGGCGGCGAGCCCGGTTTAGACACGTGCACGGTAAGTTATATTACCACCCACAAAGTCTCAAGTCTGATGGTTTATCCCTAGGGCGATGGTGGTAGTCCTTTGGTGTGTCCAGACCCTTCCAACCCCAATCGCTACCTCCAAGTGGGTATAGTGGCCTGGGGGATCGGCTGTGGCGAAAACCAAGTCCCTGGAGTCTACACCGACGTGGCCAACTTCCGAAATTGGATCGACCTTAAATTGCAAGAAACAGGCATCGGTATCGATTCATACATCGTATAATTACAGCGGTGTTCGTTATTTATGTAAATTAGTCTCGAATAAAGTCATTTTTATCCAAGTCGATTGCACTTTCTACATAGATAAACCGACTTCCTTATGCATAATCGAAATAAAAACCGGCGTCGAATTGTAACATTGACACAGTGGAACGATGAGTACCTCGACGATCTTGTTAACTTTGACCAGTTTTTGCTTAAGTGGTGCCTACGATTTTTTCGACAATTACGTGGAGGTTCCAACACCGCCCCCTGAGTCCGTCGGGGCTATCCCCAAATGCGGCGAAGGTGACCAAAAAGGGCGATATTTGTGTGTGCCGTACTACAACTGCGACCCGCTTACTAACACGGTTGTGGACTATCCAGAAGTGGATGGTTCAGCTGTTAAGGAACCGAGGTCCAGAAGTGACCCTCGCTGTGGACACTATTTGGAAGTGTGTTGTCAGTTGAGTCGTCCGACGACAGTTAACGTAGAACACGCCCCTACTGTCAATTTCAACTTCCAGCCGACTTGTGGGGTCTCTGACGAAACTGACTGGATGGTAGGTTTGTTCAACACGTCTGATAGTACCAATAGACCGTTTTGTGGAGGTTCTTTACTGTCGCCTGTGGTGGTACTAACCGCTGCTCACTGTGTCGAAAGATTTCAGCCCAACCAAATCAAAGTGGCAGTCGGAGAACAAGAAAAAAACGTCTCTGAAGTCATAATTCACGAGCATTATTTGTCAAGCGCTCTGTACAATGACGTAGCTATTTTAATTTTGAATAGTTCCTTGGTTGGAACTAACAATATAGGTACTATATGTGTACCAAAAACGCTTGACGATATTAATCAAGAAGATTGTATGGTTAGTGGTTCAGACAATGTTTTTCCTGAAAAATGGAAGCGTGTGGCGAAAGTACCAAATAAAGTGTGTCAAGATGTTTTGAGGAAAAAAGTGGGAGGGCAGTTTTTGTTGCAGCACTCTTTTATGTGCGCTGGTACCAAAACTGGTGACGATGTTTGTGTGGTACTGTTTCGTGTTTTCGGGTACTATTTTTTTAATTTGGTTACTTTTAGGGAGATGGTGGTGGCCCGCTGGTTTGTCCCGATTCCTCTAAACGGTATTTCCAGATTGGTATCGTTTCTTGGGGAATTGATTGTGGTGGTACCACTCCAAGTGTTTACGCTGATGTGGTGCAATTCCGAGAATGGATTAAGTACAAGTTAACTGAGCTGGGGTACAGTTCACACTCCTATACGAAGAATGATTGAAGTTAATAAAGTGATGTACTTTGTACTTGAATACAGTTTAGTGGGGTCAAAAAATAAGATATCATTTGTATATAATAATAAAAATATTTTGCATTTTCAATCACCAACTCAACATGGTAGAAATAATTCTGGTAAAATACGAAAATGTAGGTCTTCCGTTTCCGTTTGTCTGTCCTTTATCTGTCAATTTGATAACCTCAAAAGCAAACCAAAATCCCAGAAGGAATTTCCATTGATTGCTTCTACATCCTGATCAAATAACTTGTATATATTTTCCAGAAGGCAATTTATTGCATTCTTCACTTTTTCAGGTTATTGACTTTTATTTTCAATTTCTCAGTTTTACATTTCTTGATTTTTCAATTTTTCGTTTTCAGTTTTTCAAGTTCTTAGTGTAGGAATATAATTTTTTCATTTTCGCGATTCGTCATTTTTACAATTTTTTGGTATAACATTTTTTCGGTTTTTCTTATTCTTCGATTGTATCATTTTTTGATACCATTTTTTTTTTATTTTTCAATTGGTTCAATTGATTTATCAGTTTCTCTGTTTTTAATTGTTCGATTTTTCAATTTTACGGTTCTTCAATTGTCTTTATTTTTTTAATATTTCTTTCGATTTTAAATTTTTCGTTTATTCAATTTTTCAAAATTTCAATTTTTGATTTTTCAATATCAATTCCTCAATTTTCCAATTTTAAATTTTTCAATTTTGCAATTTTTGGATTTCTCAGTAGTTTTCCGATTTTTTGTTTTAATAATAATAATAATAATAATAATAATAAGTTTATTGTCCCACAGGTTTCCCTAATTACAGGACAAAATATAAAAAAATACATAATAATAAATATACAAATAACTAAATAAAAGAAAAGAAAAAACAGCACTCTCGATCATAATACAAACAGGACTAACCCAAGAAAACATCACTCACGAGCTTATTTGCATATCACTGAAATCGGTGAACGGCATAAGACGTTCGTGCGTGGAGACGGCACATAAAAGGTAACTACATGTCGTGTTTTTTCAATATTTCAGTTTTACAATATTTCGTTTTTTCCTTTTACACTTTTTCGATTTTTAAGTTCCTCAATTTTTATTTAATCTTTTTAGATTTTTCGAAGTTTTTTCGTTTTTTCATTTTTGGTTTTTCAATTTTGCAATGTTTCCATTTTTGATTCGAAAAATTGACAACCGAAATTTTGAAAAATCGAAATCGAAAAAGTTAAAAATTGCAAAATCCAAAAAGTGGAAAAGCCAAAAACTGTAAAATTGAGTAATTATAGAATCATCAATATTGTAAGTATAAGTCGAAATACTGTAGCATTTATTAGCAAAATTAAATATTGAAAAATTAAAAATTTCAAAATGGAAAAATTAAAACTCGAAAAATGGCAATAGTCAAAATTCGTAATATTGGAAAATCGAAAAATTAAAAATCAAAAATTTGAAATATTTTACATTTAATTCGAAAGTTTTGATTTTATTTTTAATTTTCTCTAGGTTATATCATAAGTTTCGTTTTTTCATTTCCTGTATTTTTTTTCAATGGTCCTCCCGATTGTATAATTTTTCGTTTACTCAATTTTTCAAATTTTCAATGCTCGATTTTTCAATATCAATTTTTCGATTTTCCGCTTTTAAATTTTTCAGTTTTGCAATTTTTGGATTCTCAATTTTTAATATTTCGATTTTTCATTTTTCGGTTCAGTTTTTAGAAAATCCAAAGTTTTCATTTAATACTTTTTCGTTTTTCAATTTTAGATTTTACAATTTTGCCATTTTTGATTCGGAAAGTTAAAACGGAACATTGAAAAATCGAAAAACTAAAAAATCTAAAAAAATTGATAAATCCAAAAAGTGGAGAATCGAAAAATTCCAAATCGAGAAAACTAAAAATTGAAACATTGAAAAATTAAAGACGAAAAACTTAAAATTCGAAAAAATTAATGAATCGGGAAATTGGAAATAAGAAAAATGTGAAAACGAAAAATTGGAAAAGCCAAAAATTGTAAAATCGAATAATCATAGAATCGTCGAAATTGTAAGATCGAAAAACTGGAAAATTAAATGTCGAGAAACTGAAAAATTAAAAACCGAAAAATTGCGAAAAGAACTGAAGAAACCAAAAATTGAAACACTGAAAAAGTAAAACCGAGGCACTTAAAAATCAAAAAATTTAATGAATCGAAAAATTGGAAAGAAGAAAAAACGTGAAAGTGAGAAATCGGAAAACCCAAAAAGTGTAAAATCAAAAAAAATACAGAATCATCAAAATTGTAAAGTATAAAAACTGTAACATTAATAAAAGAAGGAAAAAATTAAAAATTAAATATTGAGAAAATGAAAATTTAAAAATCTAAAATTTGAAAAATTTCACATTGAAAAAAAATAAAAAATACTAAATCAGAACATTAAAAAACCGAAAGTTCTTGACTTTATTTTTCATTTTCTCGAGTTTATATCGTAGTTAACTTTCCTTTTTTCATTTCCTTTATTTTTTACGTTTCTTCCGATTTTATAGTTTTTTGTTTATTCAGTTTTTCAAATTTTCATTCTCTGGTTTTTCAATTTCAACTCCTCGACTTTCCAAGTTTAAATTTCTCAGTTTTGGAATTTTTGGTTTTCCCAATTACTTTGGAAAATGTAAAAACTGGAAATCGCATATTTTCCAGTTTTTACATTTTCCAAAGTTTTCATTTTACACTTTTACAGTCTTGCAATGCTTCCATTTTTGATTTGAAATGTTGAAAATCGAAAAATTGAAAAATCGAAAAAGAAAAAATCGGAAAAAACCGAAAAAATGAAAAATTGGAAAGACAAAAAAACGCGACAGTAAACAATTGGAAAAATCAAAAATTGTAAGATTAAAAAACTGAAAAATTAAAAATCGAAAAATTGAAAAATTGAATATTGAGAAATTAAAAACTAAAAATGAAAAAATTAAAAATCGAAAAATTGCAATATTCAAAATTCGTGAAAGTGAAAAGGTGAAACATTGCAGAAGCGAAAAATTGGAAAATCGAAAAAGTCTAAAATCTAAAATTGAAAAAGCGAAAAATTTGAAAATCTAAAAGTAGAAAAATCGAAAAACTAAAAACCCAAAATTTTAAAATTTTCACATCGAAAATTATGAAATCAGAACATTGAAAAACTGAAAGTTCTTGATTTTATTGTTCATTTTCTCAAGTTTATAATCATATCTTTCGTTTTTATTATCTTTATTTTTTTAATGTTTCTTTCGATTTTATATTTTTTCGTTTATTCAATTTTTCAAATTTTCAGTTTTAGATTTTTCAATTTCAATTCCTCAATATTCCAATTTTAAATTTTTCAATTTTGCAATTTTTGGATTTCTCAATTACATACCCGATTTTCCGATTTTTTGTTTTTTCAATAATTCGTTTTTTTATTCTACACTTTTTAAATTTTTCAGTTTCTCAATTTTTATTTTAATCTTTCGATTTGTCAATTTTTCGGTTTTTCAATTTTTCAAGTTCTTGATTTCCAGTTTTTAGATTTCCACAGTTTTCATTGAATACTTTTCGTTTATTCATTTTAAAAACTAAAAAATCGGAAAACATTGAAAAATCGAAAAACCGAAAAATTATAGAATAATCAAAATTGTAAAATCGAAAAACTGTAACACTAAAACATCGAAAAACTGAAAAATTAAGTATCGGAAAATTAAAAATGGAAGTACTGAAAAATTCTAAATCAGTACAACTGAAAAAGTGAAAAATTGTTTAAAATTGTTATATTTAAAACGGAAAAATCGAGAAACTTAATCTAAAATTGAAAAAACGAAAAATATAAAATCTAAATGTTGAAAAAAAAACAACAATTATAAAATCAGAGCATTAAAAAAACGCAATATTGAAAAAATAAGAAAATAAAAAACCGAAACGAAAAATTGAAGAAATAAAATATTGAAAAATTGAAAATTTAAAAATCGAAAACTTGTGATTTTTTTTTTAATCTTTTTCAATATATTGCAGTTTTGTGTTTATTCAAAATTAAGAGGAAACAAGAAATTGTGCCAGAAGTACGATAGAAGAAAAAATATGGTTTTTTTCATGACAAAAAAAAAATACTGAAATTCAAAAATCTAAAATTTAAAAATCGCAAAAGTAAGAAATTGAGATTTCGAAAAGTCAAAAAATCCAAAAATCGAGAAATTAAAAAATCGAAGAATTGAAAAATTTTAAAAATTGAAACATTGAAAAATCGATTGATCAAGTGACGTCAAAAGTCGAAAAATTGAAAAATTCTAAAATCGTATTATTGAAAAAGTGAAAATGTTTTTAATTTATTATTATTACATTTAAAAAGGAAAACTAGAAAAATTGGAAAATCGAGCAAATTAAAAGTCCAAAATTGAAAAAATCAAAAAATTAAAAAATCTAAATGTTGAAAAAAAACAAGTTTAAAATCAGAACATTAAAAAAAAGAAAATATGAAAAATTAAGAAAATAAAAAACCATAATAATAAATTGAAGAAATGAAAAATTGAAAAAATTTTTTTTTAATTTGTGTTTATTCAAAATTAAGAGAAAACAAGAAATTGAGCCAGAAGTACCATAGAAGAAAAAATATGGATTTTTTCCCATGACAAAAAAAATACTGAAATTCAAAAATCAAAAATTGAAAAATCGCAAAAGTAAGAAATTGAGATTTCGAAAAATCAAAAATCCGAAAATCGAGAAATTGAAAAATCGAAGAATTGAAAAACTGAAAAATTGAAACATTGAAAAATCGATTTGATCAAGTGACGTCAAAAGTCGAAAAAAATTGAAAAATTCTAAAATCGTATTATTCAAAAAGTGAAAATGTTTTAAATTTATTATTATTACATTTAAAAAGGAAAACTAGAAAAATTGGAAAATCCAGCAAATTAAAAGTCCAAAATTGAAAAAATCGAAAAATTAAAAAATCTAAATGTTGAAAAAAAAAACAATTATAAAATCAGAACATTAAAAAACCGAAAATATGAAAAATTAAGAAAATAAAGAACCATAATGAAAAATTGAAGATGTGAAAAATTGAAAAAAAAATTGTTTAATTTGTGTTTATTCAAAATTAAGAGAAAACAAGAAATTGAGCCAGAAGTACCATAGAAGAAAAAATATGGATTTTTTCCCATGACAAAAAAAAATATTGAAATTCAAAAATCTAAAATTTAAAAATCGCAAAAGTAAGAAATTGAGATTTCGAAAAATCAAAAAAACCGAAAATCGAGAAATTGAAAACTCGAAGAATTGACAAACTGAAAAATTGAAACATTGAAAAATCGATTTGATTAAGTGACGTCAAAAGTCGAAAAAAATTGAAAAATTCTAAAATCGTATTATTCAAAAAGTGAAAATGTTTTAAATTTATTATTATTACATTTAAAAAGGAAAACTAGAAAAATTGGAAAATCGAGCAAATTAAAAGTCCAAAATTGAAAAAATCGAAAAATTAAAAAATCTGAATGTTGAAAAAAAAACAACAATTATAAAATCACGACATTAAAAAACCGAAAATATGAAAAATTAAGAAAATAAAAAACCATAATAAAAAATTGAAGATGTGAAAAATTTAAAAAAAAATTGTTTAATTTGTGTTTATTCAAAATTAAGAGAAAACAAGAAATTGAGCCAGAATTACCATAGAAGAAAAAATATAAATTTTTTCCCATGACAAAAAAAAAACTGAAATTCAAAAATCTAAAATTTAAAAATCGCAAAAGTAAGAAATTGAGATTTCGAAAAATCAAAAAATCCGAAAATCGAGAAATTAAAAAATCAAAGAATTGAAAATTTGAAAAATTGAAACATTGAAAAATGGATTGATCAAGTGACGTCAAAAGTCGAAAAACTGAAAAATTCTAAAATCGTAGTATTGAAAAAGTGAAAATGTTTTTAATTTATTATTATTACATTTAAAAGGAAAACTAGAAAAATTGAAAAATCGAGCAAATTAAAAGTCCAAAATTGAAAAAATCGAAAAATTAAAAAATCTAAATGTTGAAAAAAAAACAACAATTATAAAATCAGAACATTAAGAAACCGAAAATATGAAAAATTAAGAAAATAAAAAACCATAACGAAAAATTACAAATCGAAAAATTGAAGATATGAAAAATTGAAAAAAAAAATATGTGTTTAATTTGTTTTTATTCAAAATCAACATAAAACAGAGATCGTGGAGAAATACCTTAGAAAAATATGAATTTTTTCCTGAATAATGATAAAATTTTTGTCTAAAGAGTATGTTGTATGTATTGTCGGTACTTAGCAGCGACAGTTATTAGACTTCTCCGCCTCCTCTTTCCGGGTTTCCATAATCCCATAAACACTTGGACACATAGAATAAAGTGGACAAGGACTAAAAACTCGGAAAGTAAAAAGTATAAATTTGACATGCAGTAAAACATATGTATGAATTAAAATAAAAGACGAAAAGTTAAGGGTTAACTTTACATATTTATATTTATTTTGATAAAAAAATCAAATTTACAACGCATTTTGAGAGTTTATTTGAGAAAGTACAATATAATATTCTAATAATAGAGTGTTATCAATAGCAAAGTTCACTCAACTGAGATATACTGAACTTTGAATTTCTGCACAAAAATTTCGATAATATTTTTTTTAAATCTACTATACTACATAGCCTCAAAAAATTAAAACCGATACGAATCCACCCCATATCTCCTCTTCTTCATCTGCTCATCCACCCAATTTCGAAGATACGCCACATCTGCGTAAGCCCCCGGTACTCCTTCAATACCGCATCCAATCCCCCAAGACACCAATCCAACCACCTGATATCTATTCTTCTGATTCGGTATCGGACACACTAGTGGTACCCCCCCATCTCCAGTACACGCATCCTTCCCCGCCTGCCCCCCAGCACACATAAAACTCCTGTGCAGCTCAAAATCCCACCCCAACCACGTTCTCCTAAAGTCCCTCTGACATTTCCTCCTCTCAACCACCAGCAGTTCAACCTTCCTCAAAATATTCGAATAAACCCCGTCGCACTCAAACTTGTCTTTACCCCATCCACTCACTAAGCATTTATCAGAAAGAACCACGCTGTTCTTCGGGGGCAAACAAGCTACATTAATGTGCGCGGTGAGTTTAACCGGATACTCCAGAAACAGCAACGCTATGTCGTTGTGCAAAAACCTGGAATTGTAGTCCCGGTGTAGTACCACCGAAACCACATCCCTCTCCTGGTGTTTCAACAACTCCTGGATTGTCTGGGTATCCCACTCGCCGACCCGAACCACGAAACTGTTCCCATTGGCGACGCAATGGGCGACGGTGAGTACGACCTGGGGGTGGATCAGAGTACCGCCGCACTTGTAGACGTACCTGAAGTAGTCTGGGTCTTTGTGTAGGATGGCGGTGACCCACGGGAACTCCCCGAACTGTGCTTCGTTGTCGACATTATCGATGAGGTGGTACCCGACCCCGTCGGGGTTTCTGTAGCCACAACCATTTTTTTTTGGGACTCTAATTGAAGATTCCTCCAGGACGTTTTCAGTCTGGCAGCAGATTTGGAGGTACGACGGGCAGTCGTTTTGTCGGATTCTAAAAGATTGGGATGTAGTGAGGTTCGTGCCTATAAAGGGAGTACCTGATGTCGATGAGGTCCACTCCGTCCATGTTGATGGTACCGGTGTCGCAGAGGTGGTAGGGTACGCATTCGCAGTCGGTGTACTGGGTGTTGATCTGGCCACAGATCACAGAAAACACCACAAAAGAACTGATGAGTGTGTAGGCAGAGGGTAACATCGTCTGAAACAGTCAAAAATAAACCTTGTTTTCGATTTTTTAAGTACTTACTCTTATCAATGTTGTGGAAAAAATGACCACAACATGTCCACGACTTAAATTTATGGAAGTAGATAAAGTTTCAATTTTAAACGATTACCTACTGCTCTTGGTACGAAGTTCTTGATTTAATAAGATGCATGGAGGTCGTGGTAATATTTTGCGTTTCATTTTTTTGTCTTATCTTCTGTTGATTCATATTCTCTTTGAATGACTTTTTTTGTCAGCGGGTGTCACAGGTTGCCCCTCCCGCATTTATTCTCTAATTTTTCTTTTGTAGAGTAGTGTATATTTTTGGAAAAAATTGTCGTGTTATTTTTTTTATTTCTCAATATTTTCACACATATTTTTTTAAATTAGATAGAATAAGGTGCAGTAATAAAAGATATGATTGTACGGTGTTTTATTTAAAAACGAAGTAATATATTACGTATTAAAAAAAGAACACTCTGTATAGTTAAAAATAATTTTAAATTTTTCACAAAATCGTTCAAATGTGGTCTTTGATTTTTTCTTCTGTCTATTAATTAATGAGATTTCGAGAACCGCGCGCTTAGTGACTCACTCTGTATGTATATTATTTAAAAAAATACTCTAATAAAAACCGAAAAATCGAAATTCGAAAGTTCCAAAATCGAAAGATAGAGCATAAAAAAATTGAAAAATAGAAATACCGAAGAACTGAAAAGTCGAAAAATTGAGATTTTAATGTAATCGAAAAATTCAAAAATCGAAAAATTGAAAATTCGGAAAATTGGGAAATCGAAAAATTAGAAACATTCAAAAAAACATCGAAAAACCAAAGGTCCAGAAGTCGAAAAATTGAGAAATAGAAACCGAAAAACTGAAAAATTCCAACGAAAAATTGATAAATCAAAAAATTAAAAAATCCAAAAATCGAAACATCGAAAAATTCAAAACCTGAAACATCGAGAAATCAAAATATCAAAAGCTCGAGAAATCGAAAAGTTGAGAAGTCGAAAAAGTCGAAAGATGGAGCATCAAAAAATTAAAATAACGAAAATGAAAAATCCATAAATTGAAATCGGAAAACTGAAAAATCGAGAAATCTAAAAATCGAAATGTCGAAAAATTTTAAAAATCGAAAAAGCCAGGAAATCGAAACATCAAAAAATCATAAAATGAAAAAATTGAAAACTCGAAAATCCAAATCTAAAATGAAAAATTGGGAAATCGAAAAATCGCAAAATCGAATCATCGAGAAACTGGAAAATCCAAAAAACGGAACATCCAAAAAACCAAAACTGAAACATCGAGAAATCGACATATGAAATGAAAAGTTGCGAAATAGAAAAGTTTAAAATTGGGAAATCCATGGAAAAACTGAAAAACCGGGAAATTGGAAAATTCCAAAAATGAAATGACGAAAAATTGGGTATTCAAACAAAAAATTGAAAAATCGAAACATATTTAAAATATCGAGAAGTCGAAATGTCGAAAAATCTAAAAGTTAAAACTAAAAATAAATCGATAAATTGATCGAAAAATCGAAAAACTGAATAATCTAAAAACTGGTTAATTAAAAAAAAATTAAAATTGAAAAATTGAAAACCGAAAAATCTAAAACCGAAAATTCAAAAAATCGAAAGAGCGAGAAATCCAAACAAAAGAATAAAAATATAAAATTTAAAAATCCAAAAAATTGAAAAGTAAAGTACCGAAAAACTCAAAAAACGAGAGTTCAAAATGTCAAATAACTGAAAATCTAAAAATTAAAAATCGCAAAATTGAAAAATCCAAAAAGTAAAAAATTAAGAAATCGAAAAATCAAAAAGTCGAAAAATTAAAAAATCAAGAAATTGACACGTCGAAAATTAGAAGAATTGCAAAATTGAAAAATCAAAATATTGAAAAATCAAGGAATCGAGAAATCAAAAAATCGATCGATCAAAAATTTGAGAAATCGAAAAATTGAAAATTTAGAAAGGTCAAAAATCGAACACTTGAAAAATAGAAAAATTGAGATAAAAGATTGAATATCGTAAAACTGAAAGATCGAAAAAATGAAAAATAGAAATATCGAAGAACTGAAAATCGAAAAATCTAAAATTTTAAAAATTTAAAAATCGAAACATCGAAAAATCAAAACATCGAAAAATTCAAAAACTGAAACATCGAGAAATAGAAACATCAAAAGATGCGAGTAAATAAAATATCGGAAAAGTCGAGAATTAGAAGTTTAAAATTGAAAAATTGGAAAATTGAGAAATCAAAATACTGAAAAATCGAGAAATTGCAAAATCCCAACTTGAAATGACGAAAAGTTGGAAATTCAAAAAATTGAAAAATCGAAACATCGAAAAATTCAAAAATTGAAACATCGAGAATTCGAGATAATTAAAAGATCAAGAAATCGAGAAGTCGAAATGTCGAAAAATCTAAAATTTAAAAATTGGGAAATTTTAAATTAAAAAAAATCGATAAATTGATCGAAAAACTGAATAATCGAAAAATCGGTTAACTAAAAAAAATTAAATTCGAAAAATTGAAAAACCCAAAAATCTAAAACCGAAAAGTCAAAAAATCGAAAGAGCGAGAAATCCAAACAAAAAATAAAAAATATAAAATTTAAAAATCCAAAACAACGAAAAAGTAAAGTACCGAAAAACTCAAAAAACCAGAATTCAAAATGTCAAATTACTGAAAATCCAAATATTAAAAATCGCAAAATTGAAAAATCGAAAAGGTAAAAAATTGAGAAATCAAAAAGTCGAAAAATAGAAAAATTAAAAAATCAAGAGATTGAAAATTGGAAAATTGGAAGAATTGCAAAATTGAAAAATCAAAATATTGAAAAATCAAGAATTTGAGAAATCGAAAAATTGAAAATTTAGAAACGTCAAAAATCGAACAATTGAAAAATAGAACAATTAAGACGGAAGATTTAAAAACCGTAAAACTGAAACATCGAAAAATTGAAAAATAGAAATACCGAAGAACTGAAAAGTCGAAAAATCGAGAAATCCAAAAATAGAAAATTTTTAAAATTACAAAATTAAAGTACCGAAAAACACAAAAATCGAGAATTCGAAACATTAAAAAATAGAAAATCTAAAATTTGAAAGTTGCAAAATTGAAAAACCGAAAAAGTAAAAATTTGGGGAATCGAAAAATCAAAAAGTCGAAAAATCGAAAAATTAAAAATCCAAAATTTGAAAAATTTTACATTGAAAAAAAAAGACAAAATATGAAATCAGAACATACATTGAAAAACCGAAAGATCTTGATTTTATTTTTCATTTTCTCGAGTTTTTACATAACTTTCGTTTTTTCATTTTCTTTTTTTTTTAATGTTTCTTCCGATTTTATAATTTTTCGTTTATTTAATTTTTTTAATTTTTCAATCTTTGATTTTACAATTTCAATTCCTCAGTTTTCCAATTTTAAATTTTTCAATTTTGCAATTTTTGAATTTCTCATTTACATATCGAATTTTCAGTCTTGCAATATTTTTATTTTTGATTCGAAATGTTGAAAAATCGAAAAACTGAAAAATCGAAAAATTAAAAAATAAAAAAAAATGAAAAAACGAAAAATTGCAAAATCAAAAAAGTGGAAAATCGAAAAATAGCAAATCGAAGAACTGAAGAAACGAAAAATTAACACATTGAAGAACAAAAAACGGGAAACCTCAGAATCGAAAAATTCGAAAGCGAAAAATCAGAAAAGCAAAAAATTGTAAAATGGAATAATTAGAGAATAATCAAAATTGTAAATTCGAAAAACTGTAACATTAAAAGATTGAAACATTAAAAATTAAATATCGAGAAATTGAAAAGCTAAAAACGAAAAACTTGTGATTCTATGTAAAATAGAATCATAAAAAAATTTATAAACTGTAACATTAAAACATCGAAAAACTGAAAAACCAAGTATCTGGAGATTGAAAAATTAAAAATGGAAACATTGAAAAATTCTAAAACAGTAAAATTGAAAAAATAAAAATTGTTATTATTATTATATATTTAAAAAGGAAAATCGAGAAATCTAAATGTTGAAAACAAACAACAATTATAAAATCAGAACATCAAAAAACGAAAAATTAAAAAAAATAAGTAAATAAAAAACCGAAACGAAAAATTGCAAATCGAAAAATTGAAGAAATGAAAAATTAAAAAATTTAAAAATCGAAATCTTGTGAATTTGTTTTAAATCTTTTTCAATATATTGCAGTTTGAAGACTCTTCGTTTAATTTGTTTTTATTCAAAATTCACAGAAAACAAGAAATTGGACGAGATATACCATAGAACAAAAATCTTATAATGAAATGAGAAATTGATCAGAACAATCGAAATCGAAATTGAAACAACAAAAAACCAAAATTTAAAAATTCAAAAAATTGAAAAATATGTAGAACTATAGAAGAACTGAAAAGTCGAAAAATCGAGAAATAGAAAAATCGAAAATTTTTAAAATTGAAAAAACAAAACACCGAAAAATTGAAAAATCGACAATTCGAAACATAAAAAATTGAAAAATCTAAAACTTAAAAATCGAAAAGTAAGAAATTGAGAAACTGAAAAATCAAAAAATCGAAAAATCGAGAAATTAAAAAATCGAAGAATTGAAAAATTGAAAAATCGTACATTGAAAATCGAAAAAGCAAGAAATAAAAAAATCGATTGATCAAGAATTTGAATTTTTTTAATTAATATTTATAAAGGAAAACTAAAAAAATTGGGAAAGCGCGAAACTTAAAGATCCAAATTGAAAAATCGAAAAATTAAAATATCTAAATGTTCAAAAAAAAAGAATTAAAAAATCAGAACATAAAAAAAAAAACCGAAAAATTTAAAAATTAATAAAATAAGCAGACACGAAAAATTGCAAACCGAAAAATTAAAGAGATGAAAAATTGAAAAAAAAAAATCGAAAACTTGTGAAATTTTTAAAATTTTTTTTCAATATAATGCAGTTTGAAGTATAAATTTGACATAAGAAAAACATGTGTAATTTTAAATAAAAAAAGAAACGTTAGGGGTTAACATATTTATACCTATTTTGATAAAAAGTCACTATTTTGAAAGTTTATTTCAGAAAGTACAAATTAATATTCTAATAATAGATGGTTATCAATAGGAAAGTTCACTCAGCTGAGAGATACTAAATGTTTAATTTCGCGGAATTTCCGGTGATCTGATAATATTAATTACATATACCAATATACACAATTTATATTAATCTTCTTTATTCAAACCTATTATAATACATAGCCTCAAAAAACTAAAACCGATACGAATCCACCCCATATTTCCTCTTGTTCATCTGCTCATCCACCCAATTCCTAAGGTACGCCACATCCGCATAAGCCCCTGGTACTCCTTCAGTACCGCATCCAATCCCCCACGCCACCATCCCAACCACCTGATACCTATCCTCCTGATCCGGTATCGGACACACCAGCGGTGCCCCCCCATCTCCAGTACACGCATCCTTCCCCTCCTGCCCCCCAGCACACATAAAACTCCTATGCAGCGCAAAATGCCTCCCCAACCTCGTCTTCCTAAAGTCCCTCTGACATTTCCCCCTCTCCACCACCGGCAACTCAATCTTCTTCAAAATATTCTGATAAACCCCGTCGCTCTCAAACTTGTCTTTACCCCACCCACTCACGAAACATTCACTAGAAAGAACCACGCTGTCCTTCGGGGGCAAACACGCTACATTAATGTGCTCGGTGAGGTTAACCGGGGACTCCAGAAACAGCAACGCCATGTCGTTGTGCAACAACCTGGGTTTGTAGTCCCGGTGTAGTACCGCAGAAACCACCTTCCTCTCCTGGTGCTTCAAAAACTCCTGGGTTGTCTTGGTATCCCACTCGCCGACGCGAACCACGAAACTGTTCCCGTTGGCGATGCAATGGGCGGTGGTGAGTACCACCTGGGGGTGGATCAGAGTACCGCCGCACTTGTAGGCGTGCTTGACATCGTTTGGGCCTTTGTGTAGGATGGCGGTGACCCACGGGAATTCCCCGAACTGCGCTTCGTTGTCGAAATCACCGCTGATGCGGTACCCGACTCCATCTGGGTTTCTGTACCCACAGGCCTTTTTTTTGGGGATGTCAGGGGCTCGAATTGAGGGTTCCTCCAGGACGTCTTTGGCTTGGCAGCAGATTTCGAGGTACGTGCAGTCGTCTTCTCGGATTCTGAAAGATTGGGATGTAGTGAGGTTCATGCGTGTAACGGGAGTACCTGATGTCGATGACGTTCTCTCCGTTGGTGTTGATGGTACCGTTGTCGCAGAGGTAGTAGGGTACGCATTCGCAGTCGGTGTTTTGGGTGTTGATATGGCCACAGAGGACAGAAAACAACACAAAAGAGCAGATCAGTGTGAAGACAGAGGGTGACATCGTCTGAAACACAGTCAAAAATAAACCTTGTTTTAGATTTATTAAGTACTTACTCTTATCAATGTAGTGGGAAAAATGAAGAGAAGGTTACAACATGTCCACGTCTTACATTTATGGAAGTAGAAATGGAAATAACGTTGACTCAGATAAAGTCTCAATTTTTAACGAACGAGTACTGCTCCTGATATGAAGTTCATGATTTAATAAGGTGCGTGGGGGTAATGGAGCTGCGTGAAGGATATAATATTTGCGTTTCAATTTTTTAAGGCTTATCTTGTGTTGACTTTACAATTATTTTTTCCTTTCATGATTCACGTTGTGTTTCGACGAGTTTTTTGTCGGTATGTCACGGGTTGCTCCTCCCAAATTTACTCTCTAATTTTTCTCTTGTAAAGTAGCGTATATTTTTGGGAAAAATTGTCGTTTTATTTCTTTTATTATGTTCATGTTCATACATATTTTTTTAAATTACATGTATTGCTAAAAAGTTTTAAGGAACATGTAATAACGTGGCAACGTCGCATCGTATTTCAAAAAAAATAATCTATGGTTGCAAAGCCTAAGAATTTTTAACTATACAGAGTATTAAAATATCGAAAATTCGAAAAATTTTGAAAATCGAAAAATGCAAACTTTAAAAATTCGAAACATTGAAAAATCGCAAAATTGAAGAATCGAAAAACTGAAAAATCGAGAATTTGAGACATTCCAAAACGGAAATGACGAAAAATTGGGAAATCGAAAAATTGAAAAATCGAAAGATGGAAAATGAAAGGTTCAAAACTGAAACATTGAGAAATCAAAATATGAAAAGATCGAGAAATCGAAGTCGGGAAGGTCAAACGTCGAAAAATGAAGAAATCGGAAAAATGAAGAATCGAAAAATTGAAAAATTGGGAAATTCCAAATCTGAAATGACGAAAAAGTGGGAAATCGAAACATCGAAAAATTCAAAAACTGAAAGATCGAGAAATCGAAACATCAAAAGATCGAGAAAACGAAAAGTGGGGAAATTGAAAAGTCAAAAAATTAAGAAATCAGAAAATAGAGGAATAGAAAAATTGAAAAATGGAGAAATCGAAACATGAAAAGATCGAGAAAGCGAGAAGTCAAGAAGTCGAAAAATCGAAAAATTTAAAAGTTAATCGAGAAATCGAAAAATTTTGAAAATCGAAAAAATTAAATTTAAAAATTCGAAAAATTGAAAAATCGCAAAATTGAAGAATCGCAAAACTGAAGAATCGAAAAACTGAAAAATGGAGAATATGAAACATTCCAAATCTGAAATGACGAAAAATTGGGAAATCGAAAAATTGGAAAATCAAAACATCGTAAAGTCAAAAACTGAAACATCGAGAAATCGAAACATCTAAAGATCGAGAAAACGGGAAGTCGTGAAAAATCTTAAAATAAAAAAATTCCAAAACTGAAATGACGAAAAATTGGGATATCAAAAAATTGAAAAATCGGAAAATCGCAATTGAAATGTTCAAAAACTGAAACATCGGAAAAACTGAAACATCGGAAAATCGGAAAATTGAAGAATCGAAAAATTGAAAAATTGAAAAGTCCAAAAACCGGCCAATCAAAAAATCCAAAAATCGAAATCTCGCGAAATCGAGAAATCGAAAAATTAAACAATCGAAAAACTGAAAAAAATTTTAAATTTAAAACCGCAACACTGTAAAATTGCAACAACCTAAAAATTCAAAAATCAGAAAATCGAAGAGTCTAAAAATTGAAAAATTCCAAATTTTCAATAACCAGAAACTGGGAAATCAAAAAACTGGAAAATTGAAACAACTAAAAATTCAAAACTAACACTTTGGAAAATCGAAGCATCAAAACACCGAGAAATCGAGAAATTGAAATGTTCTAAAAATGAAATGACGAAAAATTTGGAAATTAAAAAATTGAATCATGGAAAAATCGAAACATCAAAAAATCGAAAAATTTTAAAACAAGAGAACATTAAGAAATCGAAAAATCAAAAACTCTAGAAATCCAGAAGTCGAAAAATTTCAAAAATCATAAAATGTAAAAATTGAAAAATCGAAAAATTCTAATATCTAAAATTTAAAAATCGAGAAATTCAAAAATCGCAAAATTGAATTGAAAAACTAAAAAATCGAGAATTTGAAACGTTCCACATTTGAAATGACGAAATATTGGAAAATCGAACAATCGAAAAATCCTAATATGGAAAATATTGAAAAATCGAAAAATGTATAATGGAAAATTGAAACATCAAGAAATCGAAACATGAAAAGATCGAGAAAGCGAAAAGTCGAAAAGTCGAGAATTCAAAAAATTTAAAAGTTGATCGAAAAATCGAAAAATTGAAAAGTCCAAAAACCAGCCAATCAAAAAATCGAAAATCGAAATCTCGCTAAATCGAGAAATTGAAACATTAAAAAACTGAAAAACTGGAAAATTAAAAAAAGGAAAACCGAAACATTGAAAAATTGTAACATCAAAAATTTTTAAAATCTAAAAATTGAAAAACCGAAAATTTCAAAAATCTAGTATTTAAAAATCGAAAAATTGAGAAATCGGGAAATTGAGGAATCGAAAAATTCCAAATCTGAAATGAGGAAATATTGGAAAATCGAAAAATTGGAAAATCAAAACCTCGACAAAATTCAAAAACTGAAACGTCGAGAAATCGAAACATGAAAAGATGAAGAAATCGAAAGTCGAGAAGTTGAAAAATCGAAAACTTAAGAAATCGGAAAATTGAAAAATCGAAAAATTGAAAAATTGGGTAATTGAACATTTCCAAATGTGAAATGACGAAAAATTCGGAAATCGAAAAATTGGAGAATCGAAACATCGAAAAATTCAAAAACTGAAACATCGAGAAATCGAAACATCAAAAGATGTAGAGATCGAAAGTGGAGAAGTTGAAAAATCGAAAAATTGGGAAATCAGGAATTTGCAGAATCGAAAAACCGAAAAATCTAGAAAGAAAAAAATTCCAAAACTGAAATGACAGAAAATTGGGATATCAAAAATTGAAAAATTGAAAAATCATAATCGAAAAGTTCAAAAACTGAAACATCGAGAAATCAAAACTTCAAAATATTGAGAAGCCGAAAAGTGGGGAAATCGAAAAGTCGAAAAATTAAGAAATCAGAAAATTGAAAAATGGAGAAATCGAAATATGAAAAGATCGAGAAAGCGAGAAGTCAAGAAGTCGAAAAATCGAAAAATTTAAAAGTTAATCGAGAAATCGAAAAATTGGAAAGTCAAAAAACCGGCCAATCAAAAAATCGAAAAATCGAAATCTAGCGAAATGGAGAAATTGAAAAATTAAAAAATCGAAAACAGTGAAAATTTTAAAAATTTAAAACCGGAACATTGAAAATTTGTAAAAACCTAAAAATTGAAAAATCAGAAAATTGAAGAAATTGAAAAATTCCAAATTTGAAATAACCAGAAACTGGGAAATCAAAAAACTGGAAAATTGAAACAACGAAAAATTCAAAACTAAAACTTTGAGAAATCGAAACATCAAAACACCGAGAAATCGAAAAAGTGAAAAGTCCAGAAATTAAGTAATAGAAAAATTGAAAAATCGGAAAATTGAAGAATCAAAAAACGGAAAAATCGAGAAATTGAAAAATTCTAAAAATGAAACGACGAAAAATTTGGAAATTAAAAAATTGAATCATGGAAAAACCGAAACATCAAAAAGTCGAAAAATTTAAAAACAGGAAAACATTCAGAAATCGAAAAATCAAAAACTCTAGAAATTGAGAAGTCGCGAAATCTAAAAATCGAAAAGTCGAAAAATTTCAGAAATCGAAAAACCGAGATATCAAAAAATCGAAAAATTGAAAAACCGAAATATTCAAAAATCTAAAATTTAAAAATCGAAATTTTCAAAAGTCGCAAAAATGAAGAATCGAAAAACTGAAAAATTGAAAAATCGAAAAATTAAAAATTTAAAATTTAAAAATTGAAAGTTCAAAAATCGCAAATTTGAAGAATCGAAAAACTGAAAAGTTGAGAATTTGAGACATTCCAAAACTCAAATGACGAAAAATTGAGAAATCGAAAAATTGAAAAATCGAAAGATGGAAATTGAAAGGTTCAAAAACTGAAACATCGAGAAATCAAAATATGAAAAGATCGAGAAATCGAAGAAGTCGGGAAGTTCAAACGTCGAAAAATTAAGACATCCGAAAATTGAAGAATCGAAAAATTGAAAAATTGGGAAATTGAAATATTCCAAATCTGCAATGACGAAAAAGTGGGAAATCGAAACATCGAAAAATCAAAAACTGAAATATCGAGAAATCGAAACATCAAAAGATCGTGAAATTGAAAAGTGGGGAAATTGAAAAGTCAAAAAATTAAGAAATCAGAAAATTGAGGAATAGAAAAATTGAAAAATGGAGAAATCGAAACATGAAAAGATCGAGAAAGCGAGAAGTCAAGAAGTCGAAAAATCGAAAAATTTAAAAGTTAATCAAAAAATCGAAAAATCGAAATCACGCGAAATCGAGAAATTGAAAAATTAAAAAATCGAAAAACTGGAAAATTTTAAAAACTTAAAACATTGAAAAATTGAAAAAACCTAAAAATTGAAGAATCAGAAAATTGAAGAGTCGAAAAATTGAAAAATTCCAAATTTAAAATAACCAGAAACTGGGAAATCAAAAAACTGGAAAATTGAAACAACGAAAAATTCAAAACTAAAAGTTTCAGAAATCGAAACATCAAAACACCGAGAAATCGAAAAAGTGAAAAGTCCAGAAGTTAAGAAATAGAAAAATTGAAAAATCGGGAAATTGAAGAATCAAAAAACGGAAAAATCGAGAAATTGAAAAATTCTAAAAATGAAACGACGAAAAATTTGGAAATTAAAAAATTTAATCATGGAAAAAGCGAAACATCAAAAAGTCGAAAAATTTAAAAACAGGAAAACATTCAGAAATCGAAAAATCAAAAACTCTAGAAATCGAGAAGTCGAAAAATCTAAAAATCGAAAAGTCGAAAAATTTCAGAAATCGAAAAACGGAACTATCAAAAAATCGGAAAATTGAAAAACCGAAATATTCAAAAATCTAAAATTTAAAAATCGAAATTTTCAAAAGTCGCAAAAATGAAGAATCGAAAAACTGAAAAATTGAAAAATCGAAAAATTAAAAATCTAAAATTTAAAA